GGTGAGCACTTCTGATGTGATTGTGGCAATAGTGTTCCCATTGTGTCTTTGTGGTGTTCCCATTATGAGTGTTTCTTACATGTATGAAAATGAAAATAGGATTCCGTCTTACTTCAATCAGTTATGCTTCATTTATGTTCTCTGTACCAAAAGAATGTTTTCCAACAGAAGTGCACAATTTTTCATCCTTCAAAAATCAAAACTTATTTCTTGTGCAACTTAGTCTTCTCCGACGATGAGATAGGATCTCGAAACGTTTGAATGGAAGGAGTGATGAACATATGAGTAATTTTGTGCGAACCATCTTTAATCTAAGCGATGGTGCCAAGTCAAAGGCCCGGGAACTAGAACGATGCATCAAAAAGCTCGTCAATGCTGAGTCAGCAGTTATTTTTAATCAAACATATATATATATATATATATATATATATATATATATATGTGTGTACCGGGCCTTTGGTTGTCGGTTCCAATGGACCGGCAATTCGACGGGCCCTCTTCGGGCCTCGTCGAACACTTTCCTTGGTCGGTTCAGGGCCCTTGTAAGCACAGGACCCTTTTAGGAGCTGTGGGCCCCTGGCAGGCAAAAACCACTGTAAACACACACACAAGGCAAACACCACTGTAAATCACTGGCCCCGGCTTTACAGCTCATTGGAAAGTGGGTCCTCAAGCCCATACCGACACGGAGCCGACTGTGTGGTGTTGTGTTACCTGACCGACATATAGACCCATATGAACTCAGGGGGTCCGCGATCGGCACAAAGGTCCCTCGAACCGTTATTCGAGGGTCTGTCTTCGAAGGTCTGGGCTCCTGAATAGGACACTGACCAGCCCTTTATGCTCTTAGCTCTCCAATGGGCCCTTGATCGTCAGACCGGATGGGCCCTGCACGCTTTTTCAGGCTTCCTGGAACACTGCCTCTGGCCGACTCAGAGCCCCTTGGCAACAGAGTGCCCTATGAGGCGCTGTAGGGCCCCGAGCAATGAAAACGCTGGCTCTAGCTTTGCCCCTAATTGGGAAATGACCTCTTAGGCTCATGCCGCCACGGAGCCGACTGTGCGTTTCTGGTGCCGTCTGACCGAAACATAGACCCTTATTGACTCAGTGGGCCCCTGATCAGCGCGCACGCCCTCTGGCTGGCATTTGAGTGCTCAGCTCTGCGGGCCGGGGCCCCTGAATGAGGCCTCTGGCTGGCTTTTCGGGCCCCTTAAACGTAGGTTCCGAGGGGCCGAAGGGCCCCTCGGAACCTAAGCGGGGAGAGGCACGTGTCCCCTGTGCCTCCCCCTGCTTGTGCTACTGCTTGGGATCAAAATATTGGGCGGTGATCTTCCCGCAAAGTGCCATTGCGTGTTATTCACCAAAGTATCAATTGGAGGCGATGAGGATTAGGACAAGCTTTACTGGTGCGACGTGGGTGCCTGCGTTGTGTTCGTTAGATAGTGGTAGCACACAGCCTGTTATCAACTGTCTCGTACAGCTGTGTTTGACGTTGTTATTAGAAACATCTGAGGTTTTTCTGAGTGAATAACCAGACAAGAGTGATTTCACTGTAAGCAATGATGATAAATAAATGCTCCTTGCCTGTTTCCGCAGGAAAAACTACATGTGCATTTTGCCGAAAGAACGGCGAAAAGCAAGGGAGGTGGTGACATCCTCACTCCCTTCGTGACGGATCAGGTATGGTTGTCGGCTGTTAGAGGAAATAGTAATGCGATCAACTTCGAAATGCAATCCCAGAGGCCAGATTCACTAGCTTGAGTACCCGGACATACCCTGTCATAATGTCTTTTTCCATGTTACTGCCATGGAATCTATTTTTGTCCGCAGACACTTGTGCTCTGATTCCGCAGACGTATTCACAACTAGCACAAGACCTACAGTCAGTGTTGCTGAGACCTTTGTAGGTCTTGCGATGCTCTTCCTGTTCGCGAGTCGTATGAGGCTCGACTCTTTCCCTCCGGGACGGGACACAGGTGTTGTGCCCACTGCCCAGCACGTCAAGAAGCGAACGGCTGACCCATGGCCTGACCTCTGTCTCCCATGGCAGGCCGGGTGCTGTGCCCCATCCTGCGCTCCCACGTGTGCGAGCTCTGCCAGGGCACGGGCGACACGGCCCACACGCGCTCCTACTGCCCCCTGGTGACCGGCGGCCGCGGCGGCCGCGTCTCAGCGCCACTGTTCAGCTGAAGAGCACGCGCACAATGCGGCCGGCCGGCGCCGCTTCTGACGTGGTAGCCGCGTCATCGGGCGGCAGTGACCGTACAGCCGGACCTAGGCTGACGGTCGGTGGGGAGATCGTGACGTCATCGTGACGCGGCTGATGGACTGGGTTGTGCTCTGGGCGCAGGTGACGCGGGGATCACGTCACATGAGCGCCATCGTTTTCGAAGGGCCGCGGCGCCGTGCCGGCCACCATGCCGTTTGTGAGTAGCTTGATAATGCGATCATGTGTCATATGGGAAAAGTGATAGATCCCTTTCCCTGCACAGATAAAGACACGTCCACTCTCGTGACGTGCGTATCTTCTGCGGGCGTCGCTTCGGTTCTAGACTATTACAACGGTCAAATAAAGCATGAATGGCGCAGAGGAATGCTTGTTAGATATATGTCCGACGTACTGCAATCTGAAGATATATTTAATATAAGCGAGAAGGCTTTTAGCTCCTGGTTTTCCTGGCATTACGCATGAGGTCAGAGTTCTAATGATGAGTTATCGACCTTCAATATACGAGGAAATACTGGGTAAACGACGTGTTGGGGCAAACATTGGCTATATTGACAGCGCTCGCCGTTTCAAGCTGTGCTAACGATCAGAGTGAATACGATTCTTATCATCACGAGGTAACAGCCTAATGTGATCACATAAGAACGGCTTAAAACTCTGAGTGCGGTCATTTAGCCAACTATACAATATTGTTAAACTATAATGTCTTAAAGCAAATCGTGCTATAAACTGATGTGCTGTTGACAACTTATAACGCTATAACCCTACTGGCCTGATGAAATGAAGTTCGATAACCCAGCCATACCAACGTTGAACACATACTGCAATCTCACACATTTTCAGTCAATCTTGCGTCATGCTTTCCGTAGATAACGTCATACTTTGGCAGGCCTCAGAAGAAAGCATGAGTCAGCCATCAATAAACATGATGAAAAAATGCGTTTAGTCCCTGAGCCTGGCTGTCGTGGACCGGCGGAACGCTGATGGCAGCGCAATTAATTCCATGGCGTTTCATTAAGATTGCAGACGCCTGATTACCGCATAGCAGATTCGAAGTAAAAGTAGCCAAGAAAGGAATGTAATAGGACTGCGGTCTACCGCGTTCCGTTCAGACACTGCACTGGCAATGGATATTGAATTCTCGCGATCAACTTTGTTAACAGACGAAATTGGCTGTGACAGTATCTACCGGAATAGGGTTATGGCTGATTTTAATTTACGTCCCATTCAGTGCTCTCAGTCTTTGAAGACTTCTGTATTCCGATGCATGTCGTGTGTCGGAATACAAAAAGGCTATGATGCGCACTTTTCCGGTAAGTGTTAGATAATATGCAAAAACATTGCACGTGTCTGCGTTAAGCCTTGGAATGTTTGATTGACAAATTTCATTTAGCTTGATATGTGCATCTCCACCTCGTTACGGTTGTCACGCAGGCATCTGTCGCCGGCATCTGTGTCATCGGACGCTTCATTAACATCGGATGGGCTGATCACAGCCGCGACCCAAACGCCCTTCCCGAACGTCACACTCTCCACAAGCTCGCGCGGTCATGCCGACCAGAGAGTCTAGGGAAGTTTGGATTATTATTCGTTCGCATTGCCGATCCGGCTGCATTCCCTCACGGCACACACAAAGTGTCAACGTGCGTGCTTTCAGTGTAACCGGCATTTCAGTAGGGCGCTGCTGTGTGTGTGTGGTGTGTGTGTGTGTGTGTTGTGTGTGGTGGTGTGTGTGTGTGTGTGTGTGTGTGTGTGTGTGTGTGTGTGTTGTGTGTGTGTGTGTGTGTGTGTGTGTGTGTGTGTGTGTGTGTGTGTGGTGTGTGTGTGTGTGTGTGGTGTGTGTGTGGTGTGTTGTGTGTGTGTGTGTGTGTGTGTGTGTGTGTGTGTGTGTGTGTGTGTGTGGTGTGTGTGTGTGTGTGTGTGTGTGTGTGTGTGTGTGTGTGGTGTGTGTGTGTGTGTGTGGTGTGTGTGGTGTGTGTGTGTGTGTGTGTGGTGTTGTGTGTGTGTGTGTGTGTGTGTGTGTGTGCTTGCGTGTTAGATATATTAGAGCCCTCATGAATCGCCCTACGGTCGATTCGGTTAGGCGAGTGTCATAGTTACGCACGAAGTTTTATTCGAGGCTTTAGTTCTGGGAACCAAACTGACGATTGCGCCCACGGCATCATTGGAAACGAAAATATGTACGAAAGGATTTGCTCCTGGCAAACTGTTGATTCGGTTGCCGCACACTGGCATACATTGTCACAGCTGCAATTAATTTGCGAAGGACTCGGTGTATTCATACTTGAGCTCCCCTTCAGCACATGAGACAGTTCCCGAATTGCATTCATCGAAGAAGATGGGAACTTTGGAAATGACGCAACCATCCTTCCTTGACACCTCAAGGCCTCTGGGAGGGGGAGGATTGGCTTGATGCTGTGCTCTGCTAGTGCCTGGTAGGGGTTGCTGAAAAACTCCGGATCTGTAAGGAATACACACAGCGATATGAGATGCTGTAGCCCAAGCCTCCACTGTCTCGCCGCATGGTACGCGAGAAGCCCGACCGCAAGGCACCTGCAACAGGCGTACCAACGAGACCGCTCGTGCGCGTCGGGGTCGAAGCTCCTCCTAGGAGCGCCAGTAACAATTTTGCCATAAACCAGTTAATCCTTTGCCGCAGCATCTCCGCTCGAAGACGTCCCCCACCCCTCCCCTCTCGGCAAGTTGGTTGGTCGAGCGATACGGCTACCACCTGGCGGCCGCTGTACGAAGCTAGGCGATCGATCGGCGGCGACGGCGGGATGCTGGCGCCTCGCGCTCGCGCCAAACACACGACGGCAGCGCGTCGTACCTGACCAGCGTTTGTGGTGACGCAGGTGAGCACTGGCGCGCCCCCCGCTCTCACGGCCTCGCGAGGCGTCGCAGGGGCACGGGCTGTGCCCGGGCCAGGCGGGCGCGGCGCGGCGGCGGCCGTGTGGCCGGGTACTGTGCAACATGTGCGCTGCAGGACTGGATGGCCTCGAGTGGGCGGGACGCCGTCGGTGACGCACCTGGGTTTTGTGTGCAGCAGCTCGGACTGATGGCCTTGTGTCCTATGTCTGGTCTGCTCGGACTGGTTATCTTTTGTTCGGTGTCTGGCCTGCTCAGACTGATGACTCTGTGTTCAACGTTTGGTGTGCCTTGGACTGTGACCTTGTCTGCTCAGGTCTGCTCAGGCTGATGACCTTGTGTTCGACGTCTGGTGTGCTTGGACTTATGACCTTGTGCTCTATGTCTGGTCTGCTCAGACTGATGACCTTGTGTTCGACGTTTGGTCTGCTTGGACTTATAACTTTGTGCTCTATGTCTGGTCTGCTTGGACTTATCACCTTGTGCTCTATGTCAGGTCTGCCCTGGCCGTTGCTCTGCCGAATATTTCGTGTTGGCGTGGCGGTGACACAAGGCATGCTTGTCCAACAGAATCAAGCAGCAGCTGATCCTTTTGGGAGATCCGGGATGGTAGACACGATTCTTATCGCGTTACTTTTCCATAAAAAGCCACTGGGCTAATGCATTTTGTCGGCGACGGCAGCTGCTCTGCACCTCGCCTACGTTCGCCGTCCCTGACACAAATGTCTTATTTTGGTTATATGTTTGTTTTTTGAACCGATGCATCCGTGAAGCCTAAACTTTTCAAAAAGTGTGGCAAGATTCAAATATTTTGTTCTGTGCACTTGTTTCATGTTGATGGCGGCACCACATTAACTTGTTTATTGTAACAGTCATGCTGAAGCTGATGCCCCTCCCCGATAACAAAAAAGCAACGTGGATTTGATGCCTACTCGGCGGACAGCGAGGGCGAACTCACTAAAAGGAAACTCTTTTGAAAATACTGGTCAGATATTGTAGTCAGGCAGGCTAGGGTTGGATAGATCAGGTCAGGCTAACACAGGGTGACTGACACTGGTGCAGATTCCTCAGAAATTACGATGATAATGCATTCAGCGTGCGTCGCAAGATAATGAATGCACACGGTGCAGTGGGTCCGTGCCGCTGGTTCACAGCTGTACAATAGCACATTGGTGTGCAATTGAGCGTCAGAGTCGTGTCCTTGATTGTCTCAGTCTGAGAAGCCGGGCTCATCTGAGCTCGGTGTTCGGAGAGCCAGGCCCCGGCTTTATACTGAACCGAAGCTCACGCCTCAGGGGTCATGGCTATGCTGACCGTGCTTCCGGGAATGCAATCTCACCGTTGCCGGCTCGGATTGAGTCTGCCACCTTGATATATTTCCGGTCTAAAACTAACGTTGAGTTACAAGGGGCTGCCGTGGGCCGTCCAGGGGTCAGGCAGAGTCAAAAGCGATACGCTCGCTTCAAATCCTGGCCGATGAACTTACGTTTGCTTTTGGGTCTATATTGGGTCAGAGAAAGCAGGGGTACAGCCATAAAACCAAGGAAAGCCAAGATGTTATTGAAGCGTATCATCAGCACCGTTGTTCTATGTCTGTACGGCATGACATACTCTATATTGCACGATATGCCCAGACGGCTCGTGCATCGTTTTAACGCACTCGCGATCAGCTACAGTGGTATCACAACATGTGCGCTTCTAGTTTACCCCAGCGCAAGGGGATACTCAGGCCGAGGGCTGAACAGTTCAGGCCGCCCCGGTGCTGAACTGTTCCGCGATGGGACAGCCTGAGAATTGTGTCCGAAGGTATCGTATACTGTCGCGCAAGGTGTCAAATGCGCTGGTAGACTGCCCAGCAATGCTCCGGAGGCTGCACCGCAACACATGGAATGGTAGGCTGACCCGCGCATGGGAGCGATAACAAACGCCTTGGATATGAACTAGAGACGCAGTTTTTTCTGGTTTTCCAAACGCTCGCAGCCCAGCCCGCCCCGTTCATCTAGTGATCCAGCCGGCTGACATGGCTACCATCACGGATGTTGCTTAGAGAACAGTTAGCAAAGTGCGTGGACGATGGAAGTTATGATGCATCGAAGTAGATGTTTTACGCTATGGTGGCAGTCTTCAACTATAAATGGGAAGAAAGAGGATGGAAGCCAAAATGTTTTTTAACCAAAGTTGACCCAAGATTTCACAAATCAAAGCTGTAAACATAATTTCCGGAACCCTTTCTGCAGCCAACATAGACTGCAGGCTACGTCTTTCGATCTTTGTTGAATTCTTCATTGACATCATATGACGTCAATGAAGAATTTTTGATGATGTTGACAAATGAATTCTTTATTGACGTCATATGTGCGATTATTTTTTTGTATGTAAAACAAGAAAACTTACGCCACACCGTCACAATAATAGCCAAGTGCAAGTTATATTAATGATATACCTTGCTGCTGCTCAATGAAACTAGACCTTGCTTTTGAAAACTTGGGTTGTTGTTATTGAATGTTGAGTGAGATGTTTGCGTGAAGCTATTCAATTTGTGCAACTTCGTTTAGCGGTGTATCCATTCTGTCCCGAGTTTCTGTCCCTGGTGCTCTTGGTGTAAAAAATACAAATATGCTTGCTTCATGATTTTCGGTACTTGGCGGCACACTCCGTTTTTTGGGGTGATTTTAAACTTAGGGAATAGCCAAAAATACGTGATGAGTTTTTTCAAAGTTTTCACCCGCAAAAGCCCGCCATGTCTGGCCCATAACCCCGCCAAAAGCCCGCGGGCTCTTGCGGGTCAGAAATTAGCGGGCTAACTGGTTGAAAAGGTGCGTCTCTAGCATGAATAGTTGACATACAGAGCTCGGGTCTGCAGGTTATTGGTCCCAGAGTTCGCAAAGTTCGCAAGTTTGCAAGTTCGCAATCCTGCAATCCTGCAATGCGGCAGCTCAGTTACCCTTCGCTCGGAGATGTCTCTACGGAATGCGCGTTTATTGCGGACTGCCAGCGCAACTGTTCGCGTACCGTCCACCCCATGGGAGAAGTGCAGCCCACAAAACTTTGCGGAATTAATGCTACGGTTCTGGGTGTTGCACGCAAAGTTGCGTTTAATCACCATGATTGTTCTCCAGATGCTGACGCGCTTTGAACCCTCCGTGCTCCTTCGTGTCATTGCTTCTGATTTCAGACTGCATCAACTTAGTGGGTTTTCGACCTTTTATGTTTTTCATCCCACCAGTCATGTCGTTCATTGTGGAAAAATGCATAGATGTGTGGAAATGAAATGCAGCTTATATGCCATATATTTATGACATGTGCGTTCTGGGTATACGACCTTTGTGTAACGGGAAATAGACACATTTGAATTGCTGTTTGTTTTCTGGTTAGTCAAAACTTGCAACTTCTAGGGCTTTGGATTTCCTTCAGACGGTAGGAATGCTCTGTTGCTTCTTTGGACTGTGTATACAAATTTCGAATTTCTTTCCATCACTCACTGATTTCCTTTGTCAGCAACAGAGGTTGATCTCGCCAACAGACTCCGCCGGGGCTAGAAATGCGCCAGCGCGCTACATCTCCCATCCAACATGGCGAGAGAATCCGAGTTACCACTGACGAACGGTACAAAACCAACACGAAAATTGGTCGTCACTCTATTTGAGCAAATTAAATTCACTAGGTAGGGAACTGATGTTAAAGCGCGCTTCAACTTGGAGTTTGTACGCGTTTAGCCTGTCTCTGAGGAGAGAGGCCGTGGTTAGTCCGGTGGACGCCGCTGCCCTGGCCTCCAGGGTGACGGCGCTGGTGGCTGACGCCAGTCTGGCTTTGCCACAGGCCAGCAGAAGAGGAAGCAGCATGCCGTGATGTGATGGTGGCAGCAGCTGCAGCAGCCGTCTCCAGGGGGAAGCAAGCGGACTCCGCAAGCTGACGTCACCATGGGAACGAGTTGCTCAACAACATCCACCGCTTCGGACGAGTCCATCAATAAATATGGAGAGAGGTGAGTCGCCGGGTCTGGTTTTCTTAGCTGGATGCAAGATGAGTTTACATGTCATGGAGAATATTTGGCTCAGGTGGGCGACCGGAGCTTCAGGAATGAGGAAGACATGTTCTGCATCAAATAATTTTGCTACTGTGAACGTATATCAGCCCGCTGTCCATGCCTAGAACCTGCAAGATGATTTTTTAAAGACATTTTAGCATTTTTACCCAACACATGAAGGGCAGTCTCCTGCAAAAGGTAATCGTCTGCACGTCGCAGAGATAAGGTACATTTTTGCACCCAGCATGCGGGCGCACATCCTCAACCATGCTCTACCTATCTCTTGTTCATTCAGCGAAGGACGTTGGGTCCCAAACACGGATGCCCGGCGGAGGAGGAAGCCTGCCTTAAAAGCGCGCCGGCTGCTGCTGCGGCCGCGCCTGATGCCGGTCGGGTCGCGCGGGGCGGCCCGACTCGGGCCCCGCACGCCTGGGAGGGCGCCGACACTCGGCTTCAATAACGCACACTAAATAACAATTAGTGGCATTACACGGGCGGCATATGAGCGCCGGGCTGATGGATTTCGGATAATCTCTGCAGGTTTATTGGTGCAGCGATGAACTGTTGGAATTGATTATTGTGTGGGACGACGGCCAGAGGCGAGCGGGCCGGAATGAAAGCCCGGGGGTCTGTTGCCGGCCCCAATCGTCCGACGCTGTGTCAGCGAAGGGTCGCCTCTCTGCGGGGACGGAGAGGGAGACCATGCTCCATGCACCCAGCGCGCGGGAAGCTGGTGCAGGATTAGACCGCGTCACACTGGCAGGTAGCTCCGTGTTGAGGGTCGTCTCTTAGTATAACGTGTGAAGATGTCCTATGTTAGTGTGGGGTTATTGCTGCTGCTGCTACGTTATTGTATTAATTTCGTCACAACATGTTTGGGCGTAAAATGTTAGGTAAAGATCAGTTTGTTCTGTGATTATGGTACCGACCTAAACATCGTCGCCGTTCTACTTCAGGTCGGCGTCCGACGACTTAGGCCATTATAACAAACAAACAGGGCGGTATGCGTAGGCTACGACTCTTAAGCCACTCACTTTGCGGCGTCTTATTCGGAAGTTGGCTGACATATGGGATTGGCTCAGATCGAGAACTGTTACGGGTATACCTTCTTACCGTACGTCATCCCATAGTTAAAATGACAGAGTTACACTATCACTTACATTATCCTCACGTTATCCGTTGGAAACAATCTACGGCCTGCTGTGGCTCCGAACGACTTTTTCTGTTTACATGTTTCCCATGGCAGGATCCTGTCACCTCTGTTGTCGCCGGATAAGATCCTGAACTAATTATCCAGTGGCACTGGGCATGACTCCCAGGGTGAGTTCATTGTTCGGTCCGGCTGGCTAGAAAGGTCAGCTGGCAACCGGTCAACAAGGGTCAACCCAAGCCCGCGGTGACGGTGGAGTAGCAATGTATGAAACGTAACCCCCCCCCCCCCACCGCCATGCCCAGCCCGGCGAAAGGGCGGAGGCAAAATTATCTAAGGAACTGGGTTGAAAATGCTGGGATGGTGGGTTCAATGTGCACGTAGCGAGCCTTGTCAAAGATATTCTGAAGTGGATGCCACTCATGCAAAGCACTCGGCATTTATTTTTACAATAAAAACACATTTTAACATTTTACAATACAAAAGAAATCCGTGTCGGACCACCGCCCGCCAGCCATGTTTTCCTTGCATGCATTTTGCAATGAGGTATAACTTATTCATACAGACAAGCTCGGTGGTTTCAAGACGTCGTTGGACCATGACACCCGCTCCGATTTCCAGCAATAAAAGGAGATCACACATATGTCGCAAGGAAAATTCCTTTCGTGGACGAGAGGAGGTCCGAGTAATGTAAAGTGTGTGTGATGACAAGCCAGGATACGGTGGGAAACCCTTGTTGCGACGAAGTGACTGCCCCCATCCCTGCACTGTAGAGATCGTAGACGGCTGAGATCCTCAGTGCGTACGAGGCCGCTGTAGCGGATGTGGTCATGATGCAGTAAGGCAGGAGGCCTTCTTCGGACTAAGGGGAAACACCTTTCATAACCGACTGCTTGAAACTGCTTAGGAAAACTTTAATAGCTTAAAACAAACCAGATATGTCCATAACATCACCAGACTTTTGCACAGGAACAGCACGCCATCGACTACCGAAGTGACCCCGTGATAACAGGACCGTGGTCCTTGCCGGTCTGCCACGCACACACTCTTGCTGACCCTTCACATGAGTGTTCGCGACACCTGCGGGCTGATGGAAGCTACAGCAGCGTGCAGGCGACGCGCCAGCTGTACCTCAGAGCGAGCCGACCGGCCGCCCTCGTACACCTTCTACTTCACCACACCCCAGACGTCCTCTATCGGGCGGAGTTGGGAGCACATTGGGAGGGGTTCTCCTTTTGTCTCACCACGCTCCCCCCCCCCCTCGGAAGCGAGCGGCGACTGGGTCGTCCCGCTGGCCCAGTGCGCGGTCACCAGACTCGGCCAGAAGACGAGGTCATTGTCCGGATCGTGCTGTTACGCAGAGGGAACCAGTACTGTGTTGAGGCACTGCTAGTAGTCGAATTTCCCATAGAAATTGTCACGACTGGGGCAGGCCACGGGACGTGGATTCCCTTCGGGAAAAGTCGAGACCCAGATGAATTAATTTCGTGGAGAGTTATTCTCAGTGCGCACCTCCACATCTTCAAGAACGTCTCCATGTGGGCGGGTGCAGAACGTTTTATTCGCGGGTGTTTCAGGCTCATCAAAAGCGAAAAGCTTTCACCGCTCCGGGTTTTTCTAGCTGGATATATCAATGTTTGTGAAAGGTTGTTAAGTATTCAGTTACTCCAGGTTTCGTAGACCAGAATTCTCGGGCCCCTTTACGGTTAACGTTTACCCTGGTAGGTGGGTGGACCCAAATTGTCTGCGCTATCGGGCGAAAAGTACCGCAAAGCTCCAAAGCGGCCAGATTTCTGACCCACAAAAGCTGTAGAAGTTGAATACAAAAAACACCTTCACACAAGCTCATCCTCCATGGCAACGTCCTTGTCCACGTGTGGCCTCAGAAATTCGCGGCACAGTTTCGGATTTGTGTTGTTTATGCTCTAACGCTCATCAGTGGTATCTGCGGCTTTCATCCCGCTGGTGTAGAGCACACCAGTTTCTTTCAGTAGTTTTGCGCGGCTACTTGGCTTGCATTGAACTTGCGAACGCAAACGAAAAAGAAACGCTGGGGACGCGCCAACCTTGCTGCCAGCCGACCGGACCAGTGGCTGGTTCTGTGCAGCCGCAATCATCCGAGCAAGGCCCCGCCTCTCCCCTTGTTTGCGGGCGCTGAGTTCATCGTCTTTGTAACGTTGAATGATGCTGTACATGCTGCTGACATCACTACTCCAATCCTAATGATGTTTTATCGGGGAGAGTATTTCGAAGTCACCTTGGTGTTCATGTCGTCACAATAACGTCATTCAAAACCTGTCATTCCATAAGTCATGCGACGATTAAGGCCCAAAAATCTGTATTTGTCGAGGCGTTCATATCTGGCGGTCGTGAGCGTGATGTCCAGATATAACGGCCTTCAAATGGCTTTCATCAATGTTGTGCAACGTACAATGACATTATCAAACCATGGCGCAAAGAGGGCCATATTTACTCACCAGAATTGTGCTGTCTAGTGTAGTCTTTTCCACTCGAAAAATATACCAATAGGCATAAGTGTTTTGTGTCATCATATGTCATGCTGGCTTCAATATCTGCAAATGTAAACCAATCACTTAAATCATGCATACTGTTTGGCTTTTCAGGATTAAATAAGGTATGAAACAAAAAGTTACAAAGCAAAGGAACTGCGACAATATTCGTAGGAAAAAATCGCAGGTGCATACGCACAATGCAAATAAAGGTCGTTAGCAGAAAATTCCCGAAAAGCCAATGCAGCAATCACAGAGCGAGCGGCTCTCAGGCCTTCAGTGCTCTCAAAGACGCACGAAACGCGGACGGTGTCGGGCACTCAATGAGAGCCGAAGGTAGCTGGCCCTAGGGGGCGACAGCACGGTGGTGAAACTCCCTCTGCGTCACCGAGAGCTTGCACTTCGGCAGCTCCAGAGCCCCGGCGTCGAATGAGTGGGCGGCCCGGCGGGACACCACGGATCGAGGGACAAACATGCGGTGAATCGTCAGCAGGCTGCGCTGATTCTGAAGGGCTTTATGAATTTTGAGGGGGTTCCTCTCCCACTCCAGCCGCTCCACCTGGGCCCATCCCAGGGACTTCAGCGCCGGTGTGACCTTCTCCTGGACAGACCCGCATGTCAGTCACGAGCCGAGCACTGAGGTTTATGATATTTGTATCCTGGCTAGTTGAGTTCTGGTTTCTCCACTCGTCACGGAAAAGCTGCATGAAATGTGCGGAAATACGTGTTCTTTGATCACCAATTTTAACATTTGCCGTTTAAAATGGCGGCAAAACAGATAAAGTGATAGAAGGGCGTTGCACTTTCACACGATGTGACGGACGTAAATGTCCCGGAACATGCACACGCCGATGGTCACACCCAGCAGTCGTGTAGAAGACGAGAATTGGTCACCCAGCTGTATCCAGCTATGCTTATGCGGAAGTCTTTTGCTTTGTTGACGATTTGATGGGTCCCGACTAAAGTGAAACCTTTTTTCTGGGCTCATCTTTAGTGAGCAACGCTGATCTGGACCAGCGCTGGCCGGAGTCCAAAGGGTTTTCGACACGATCTTTTAGTGATTCGGGACTGCGAGGGTCGGGTGGTGCGTGATCGAGCAGCCGGGCGTCGTCAGCGTATGCCATGACTCGATAGCCCAGTAAGTGACAAGTGAAGGTCAGTCATAAACAGGCTGAAGAGGACCAATCCGACGATAGACCCCTGGAGCGCTCTAAACGAACCGGCAAAGTCGCGGTGCTGCCTCTCGCTGGCTGCCTCCGGCCGGCCGGATAGCTGCGGGACCATACTGGGTCGATACCACACCGTCAGCTTGTTTAACAGAACGCCATGGCCGACGCCGTCAAAGGCTATTCTGAGGTCGGCGGCTGTACCTGATGAAATGTCATCGCGTTCGTTCCAAGTCTTGTTTGACAGATTCGGCAGCGCCAGGCACGGTGTGCTCGGTCGGCGCAATGACAAGGTCTGTACGCATATTGGTCATGAAATACAAGCTGTGGTCACACATACACCGAGAGAGTTGATCGCAGGCAATTTTCTCAGCAAGTCAAGGCAAGTTGGACAGAGGGCTAACGGTCGTTAGAGGGCTTTTACACGTCGCCTTTCGCTTGTAAATGGGGACCACCTCAGCAGTTTTCTACACTTCGGGGTAAATGTCCTTCGGCACAGACGCATTGACAACGCGCGAGAGTTCAGGGCCTATCACCAGCTATGATAGCTGACAAGCTGAAAAGGTGCACTTATGATATTTGGCCTGATGATCCCCAACGCAGCAAGCTTTCAGCCCGATGGTTTAATGCGGTGGGCAAGCCGCTGAGGAATCGAGTTCAAAACTTATCCAAACAAATGGTGCTCAGAGGTTAGAAACAGACCTCTGTGGCCATGGAGCACCAGGATTTTCTGAAGGGAGCGCCCCGGAGCTCGGTAAGCACTCATCACTTCAGTTTTCTGCCGGGGCCATCGACGGGGAAAATACGAAGAATCCAGGGCTGGGGAAGCGCCCCCCTCCCTCCCTCATGGCCTCTCTCTTGGCTGCCCCTGTCTGTGGTGGTTGAGAGCAGGCCGTTGTTCTAATGGTGAGGAGACTAGCTAATTTTATAGGAAAAAGCCGCAGCCATTTTATTGAAATTGTATGTCTTTTCGGATGCTTGGTTCTGTTCCCACATCCATTTGAAGTGTGAAATGGAATGAATCTTTGGAAACCAATAACGGCATGAAAATCGGGGCTGCCCAGATTTGTGACCCAGACTGGCAGTCAATAAAAGGCAGCTGTGCATGTGCGTTGTACCAGCATATGACCTGACCTATGATATGATCTGACCGCGCGGCGCAGGACGGCGGCGGAGAGGAAACGGTCCGGCGCGGTCATCTGACAGTTTAGTGTGACCTGACTAGACCTGACCTGCGACGCAGAGCGTCGGTAAAGGAGGCGCGGCCCCCGACAATCCAGTGTGACCTGACCTGACCTGACCTGCGGCGTTGGGCGACGGCGGAGAAGGCGCGGCCCGGCCCTCGAAAATCCAGTGTAACGTGACCTGACCAGGGATGCAAGGCGGTGGCGGAGAAGAAACGGCCCGGCTCGGTCATCCGACAGTCCAGTGTTACCTGACCCAACCTGACCTGACAGGAGCTGCAGCGCAGGGAGGGCGATGTCGGAGAAGGCGCGGCCCGGTGCGGCCCCAGACAGTCGAGTGCGACTTGACTCAACCTGACCTGACCTGATCTGACCTGCGATGCATGGCGACGGTGGAGAAGGCGCGGCTTGGCCCGGCTGGCGAAGTCAAGTATGGCCTGACCTGACTGACCTGCGACGCAGGGCGACGGCGGAGAAGGCGCGGGACGGCCCGGCCCCAGACAGTCCGCCGTACACGCCGAGCTCGGCGCACTCCTGGGGCTCGGCCTCGGTCGGCGGCGCGGAGCACAGCGCGGCTGCCGGCGGTCAGCGGCCGGCCGAGGTGGTCGACACCGACCATCAAGAAAATTGTGAGTGTCAGTGCCGCCGCTACTGTTCGAGTCAGGGCGACATATCTCCGAACATGGCCCTGATTGCTCCACTATATAATGTGGTTTTGAAATACCTATGTTTTCCCAAGCCAAATGCAGTATTTGTTTCAATGTTTAAAACCCATCATGTTTTCACCAAGGTCAAAGGCGGTAAATCATGTGTTCCAATATTTAAAACCCATCATGTTTCCCATAATTCAAGGGCAGTAAATTATTTGTTCCAATATTTAAAACCCATGGTGTTTTCCTGAGCCAAAGGCAATCAATAATTTGTTGCGATGTTTAAAACCCATCATGAACACAATCCGCGCAAGGGTCTCTCACATTTTATTTCCTTTGAATTGCAACAACTTCGATTTATGTGACAGATAAATCAGGGCTCAACCGGCTGTTTTTCCTGCAGCTCAATTGAAGTCTGTACACGGTCATCTGCAACACCTGCCTTCAGCTAAATCAATCTTTTTAACAATGGAGGGGCGAACCTTGTGCCCGCAGCCTAACCAAGTCCTGTGGTTCTCAAAGCACCTATCACACTTGATGTTGTGGAACGGATTTTTTGCCTGATTTCGCAAATAGTTCTTCGTTTCAACAGCATAATATTGATATACAACGAAATAATGTCCAATGACAATGTTGACTTGTTGAGGGTAGTCAACATTTTCTGTGGTTTTTTTCTGCCAGAAATATTTGGGAATGACCAAGTCAACAGTTGGAGACCGAACTCAACATTGAGGGGTCAGGGGTCTCACGAAAAAATGCAAGGCGTCATCCTTGCTTTGTTATAGTAAAGTCGTGACGAACGAAAGAACATCGTCTAGGCTTACAGAAACAGCATAATTATATTGAACGTGCATATGTCGCAAACGCAACTTCCTTAGAAATATAACGTGCGCCAAATGGCACTGACTGCTTATTTTAAGGTGTGCTTCGTTTGCCTAGCACCGCCTCTTTAAATTCACCGTCTTTTGGTGAGTTGGTTGCAAAAGCGCTTGATCGTCACGTTAATAATTAAGTGAGGTCGGGGCGAACATCATTCACTACGGCTCTACATTTTCAGGCAATCAAAAAATGCAATGATTTTGTATGCTTACAAGTGGTATCACCTCCCCTGGTCACTAGTCTGACTCAACTCTCCCCCTCCCCTCACACGCACACACAGCTCTGAAATACTGTCTTATTTAAACCGGCGTGCCGTTTTCTGGTCTGACGCGGATTTCTTTTGTCTTCATATTGATAGATAGTGTCGCCTAAAAGCTTACAAAAGGCCAACCTTTCCAGCCTTGCTATAATGGCTTCAAAGCGGCATTTTCCGTTAGCTGTGCAAAACATCTGCGGAATGCCAGTATCCGCAAGCTTAGAACTCCATGGAGATGTCACGTATGAATGTTATAAAAATGCTTACAGTATTGTAAAAGAGTATATGAGAGTATACGGGTAACACATATACGCTCTTCAATATTTGAGTGTTATTAAAGGTTTCGGATGCCGAAACCACGCCAAAAATCGTCTGCACGTTTTACGTGTACCGTTGTACTTAACGCACAATCAGCTCCAATGCCAAGATTCTCGTAAGTCCCGAGCCGCACCCGCGGCCCTTCCCCTCCACCTCCTCCCCAGTGCCGCTGCCCCCGCACAGGGTCGCCAGGTTCCGAGCGGCCTATATCACTAAGTACGCACATAACGTTTAATCTCCAGTTATATCGCCAAGTCTATCGGCAACCTCATATTTCCCGTGCCTTGCCCATGCTTTCGGCAAGCTTATCTGTAGTACATAAGCATGTATTACAGATCGCAACAGTATTTCCCTCATGTCGGCATCTGCGCAATCTAAACATCTGCAGCAGAGGCCGCTTGCGCAGGAGATTGCTGACCACGCGACGTGAGCTGTAGTATCGAGGACGTGCGTGCGGTGGCGCCAAGTTGGAGTTCCCGAGAGAGCAAGCCTTCGGCCTGCACACTTTGTAGTGGTTACCTGGGACCCCACCAGAGAGAGGGTCATCCTAGCACGGGGCAGATGAATCGTACCATTGTACGTACAGCACGATCAAACGGTCAATCTTGGTCGCGTGTAGCGCAAGGCCGGCTTTAGAGTCGCCCCCTGAGATGAAATGACTGCTGGGTAGCAGACCCAGGACACAGCCAACAAGCATGCCTCGTCATGATTTCTTCAAGTCAAAGTCATTTGTGCGAGCCGTTCAAGCACAATCAAAATGAGTATCATTCGTGAGACCGCAAGTACAATGTTACACGATTTGATCAAAGTCGAACAATGTCTTTTTGTTCCTACCTGTGGAAGTTTACCCTTACGTAAGTTCGAATCACTTTTCGGGAATCCCCAGTAGTGGTCATTTTTTGCCGTGTTATCGCCAACAGGCATCTGAATTTCTTCGCTATTTGCTTTGATAAATTTTTCATTTTGGCAGCTTTTCACCAGCGCTGGCAGCCCTGCCCTCGCGTCGCTCCGGCGGTCGGCAGCCGTTATTGAGTAACATACAGCGCGCTGGCAGCCCTGCCCTCGCGTCGCTCCGGCAGTCGGCAGCCGTTATTGAGTAACACACAGCGCACTGGCAGCCCTGCCCTCGCGTCGCTCGGGCAGTCGGCAGCCGTTATTGAGTAACACACAGCGCACTGGCAGCCCTGCCCTCGCGTCGCTCCGGCAGTCGGCAGCCGTTATTGAGTAACACACAGCGCACTGGCAGCCCTGCCCTCGCGTCGCTCCGGCAGTCGGCAGCCGTTATTGAGTAACACACAGCGCACTCGGCGCTGCGTCTTCTCATGTCGGCAGCCATGCGGGTGCCGCAGCCGGCGCAGACGGTCAGCAAGTCGGCCTCCTCTGACCAGCCGCTCGACCCGGGCCTGCCCGACCTCAGCAAGCTTAGCGAGCTAGTGCGCAGCCTCGTCACTGGCGACATCAACTATGTCAAGCCCATCCTCAAGCCCAGGAAGATCTGCATCTACACGTGCGGCGACCTGCAGGGTAGGAGGCTGCGCGAACCCCGCGGATCGGGGTGACCAGCGGGGTAGGGGCTGCGCGATCCCGTGGATCGGGGTGACCTGCGGGGTAGGGGGCTGCGCGATCCCGCGGATCGGGACGACCTGCAGGGTAGGAAGCTGTGCGAGCCCCGCGGATCGGTGCGACCTGCAGGGTAGGGGGCTGCGCGAGCCCCGCGGATCGGGGCGACATGACCTGCGGGGTAGGGGGCTGCGCGAGCCCCGCGGATCGGGATGACCTGCAGGGTAGGGGGCTGCGCGAGTCCCGCGGATCGGGGTGACCTGCAGGGTAGGGGGCTGCGCGATCCCGTGGATCGGGGCGACCTGCAGGGTAGGGGGCTGCGCGAGCCCCGCTGATCGGGGTGACCCGCAGGGTAGAGGGCTGCGCGAGCCCCGCGGATCGGGGTGACCTGCAGGGTAGGGGGCTGCGCGAGTCCCGCGGATCAGGGTGACCTGCAGGGTAGGGGGCTGCGCGATCCCGTGGATCGGGGCGACCTGCAGGATAGGAGGCTGCGCGAGCCCCGTGGATCGGGGCGACCTGCAAGGTAGGAGGCTGCGCGAGCCCCGCGGATCGGGGCGACCTGCAGGGTAGGGGGCTGCGCGAGCCCCGCGGATCGGGGCGACCTGCAGGGTAGGGGGCTGCGGGAGCCCCCCGGATCGGGGTGACCTGCAGGGTAGGGGGCTGCGCGAGCTTCGCGGATCGGGGTGACCTGCAGGGTAGGGGGCTGCGCGAGCTCCGCGGATTGGGGCGACCTGCAAGGTAGGGGGCTGCGCGAGCTCCGCGGATCGGGGCGACCTGCAAGGTAGGGGGCTGCGCGAGCCCCGCGGATCGGGGCGCGTTTACAAGTGTGGCTCGCCGTTGAAAAGAAACGATGTCTGGAGCGGCATTGATGAATTTAACGATAGCATAAGTGTGATACTGGAATGAATTAAGCAGGAGAAGGATATGGCTTTTGCAAGGTGCAAGGTGGGTATTTGAAATAGGAAATGGGAAGACCATTCCTGGAAGGAGGGCCATTTTTGGGTGGACGGGCACCATCGGTAGTTGTTTTCTGTTTAGATCCGGCATTGTCATTACCCGCCAAAGAAGCTTTGAATATGTTTTCTCTGCGCATATGCTCCAGAGGCAGTTTGAATTTAAAACGCTCATGCTGTAGGTCACAGCATTTGTTTGACGCAGAAATAAATTTTCTATAGGCCTTGGCAAAATGCAAGGATTTGTGTTGATTCCTCTTATTCAAAAACCTAACTTATTACTTTCCTGCTCAGGGCAAGAACATTTCACAACAAACGTTTCAAAGTGGAAGCAACTGCCCCTGAGAAGTGCGAAACGTCAAGTTTTCTCACGGATCAAACAAGCGTGCGTTTTTGGCATGAGGAATTGAAGATGAGTAATAGGAGTAGCCAATCCCAGCTGCGCCTTTTTCAACTCCATAAACTTCCCAGACACGATCATGGAGCGCTCATCGCTGATGGACTACGTCTACCCCAAGCTGAGGATGTACTGCATTGAGAGAGGCTACGAGCTGAACGTCATCGACCTCCACTGGGGTCTGCCGGACGAGCACCTTAACGACCACTCGCTGAAGGAGCTGTGCCTGAACGAGCTGAGAAGTCAGTGCAGGCCTCTTCGGCCTCGCTAGTCCGCTCGCGTGCTGCTTCAGCGCGATGTATTTTCACACATTGTCCCACCTTTTTGGCCTGTGCTTTCCGCTGCGCAATCTGAATAAGTGGACTGAGTGTTATCAATGCGTACCTGCCCTTGTGACTTTGCTGTGTGTAGAAAAAACTCATAAAATGCATGCACTGAATAAGCCGGTGTGTAAAAACAGTCGAAAATATTGCTAAGTTGTAAGCATCCACCAAGAGCAGCGACGAACATGTCGAAATTTGACTGCGGACGCCATGGTCGGGTAAAGTCAAGCCACTGGGTGAAGGTTTTCTGCCCGCGCTTCGTTGCCTTCAGGGTCAGATGCCAACAGCGACTGCCCCCCCCCCCCCCCCACATCCCGGCACGACGGCTTGACTTGACCGGCCTGCTCTCCAGGTCACGCCAAGGACTCGCACGTGGTCACCATCGTGTTCCTGAACGACACGTTCGGCAATCCTCTGCTACCGCGCTGCATCGAGGGACCCGACTTTGACCAGGCCGTCTCCCGAATCGAGGAGGAAAAGGTGCGCGAAATCCGTACTCAAATGCGTCCGCCGACGCACGACAGCTTCCGGGAAGTTATGAGCTCGTTAGATGGGGTCAAAGGTCATCGGTCACGACCCTCGCCTGATTCATCGCTACGCCGCCTGTGACGTTATCAGGTCTCTCAAACGAGGCGAGCCGTGTGGGCTCCTAGCTAGCTGTGTGGGCTGCTGATGCTATCAAAGCTCTAGATGCTGAGATGAAGCTAAATTGTGGCTCAAGTTCGTAATCTGAAGCTCAGCACTTAGTCTTATGTGTTTTACACTGTGCTACCCCTGGCTATCCTCTACGATAACACGGCTGCGTCCAATTAAAAAGTATCTATCTCTAGTTGTTTCCATCTCTCTAGCAATCACCGTTTGGTGCTTTTATCATATTTTGTTGCATTTTAATGGCATACTCTGCGACGTTTGCTTCAGAATAACAGTCTATGGTCATTTTTTTGTTGCCGGCTTGGACCTATTACATTGTCCATCCTTCCTTATCATACAACTCCCGTAAATTACGACGAGGTGGACAGAAAGCCATCTGTGCCGACACACGTCATATATATATATATATATATATATATATATATATATATACACCCATGCATGGGGCCACTCCCTCACGACACCATGAACCGCAGCGCACTTGGCAGCGGTGGGACGAGACCGCCTGCTCGCGGTGCCTGAAGGCGTGACTGGGTTCGGCAGGACCGGGAGCTGCTGTGGACCTGGTACCAATGGGACGAGAACGCCTCTCCGCCATGCTACAGGCTCGCTCCAATCAGCACGCACGTGCCCGATATTAAGGTATAGCGTCCTCTTGCCGTGTCAACTCTGTTTACATAATACACAGACGAGTTATCTTTTGCGCCTTGTTTGTATCGGTCAGTCGATTGTGAGTGTAACAAGAAAAGCGCGGGCCTATAATTTCGATCTCAAATGAGATGTCAGTAATGTCATTGAGCGGAAAGATAAACGGCACGCGCATGCGCTGAAAAATACATACATACGTACACGCAGCAAGTACACACGCATGCACAACAGCATGTGCTGCAAATACATTATTGTATAGAGAAAACATTGCAGCTGAATGTTTTATTTATGATATAAAGAAGCAGTCCCGTCCAGACTGGTCACGTGGTCCCTCGGCTTGGCGGCTGCAGGGGCATTAGGAACACTTTCTGGAGTTTGGTAATGAAACTGGGCATATTTATATTATATATTTATATTATATATATTACAGCGTATTTTTCCTCTGGGGAATCCCAAAAGCTGTCGCTCTGTAGGTCGTTACCTACATCTGCCGCTCCCTTCGTTCGAAAATGCCCACCAGAGCTATTCCGTGGCATTGACAGGAAATGACTGCGGAAAAGCGAGCTGACGCCATCAAAGAGTGGCGTCGGATAGTCAAGGAAATGATGAACACCATGAGAAAGGCCTTCAACCAAGAACAAAAGGAAAAATATCTCACCTCTGTTATGGAACAGGTAAGCAATAGTTTACGTGTACAACAGCAATCATGTGCCGTAGGCTAAATTTCTGCGGTGACACATGGCACTGACATCCCTGGTAGCAATTTAACACATGGGATGTGCTCACCGGGCACGTGTTAATGTGACATATGTGTACCTCAAATTGTAGATCGTTAATGTGATGTGTTGCAAATCGTTGAACAGATTTATCTTTCTACTCGCAAATTTATCGTTGAACTTTCCATGTCTAAGATGTGTAAGATTGTAGGCATAGATCCTTGTGAGATGTGAGCAATGATTGTAGGCATAGATCCTTTCAATTACACGTACGCTTGTACCCCGCGACAGACACTGCTGACGTTGCTGCTCACGTTGCAGGAGATCAAGCAGGCGGTGTTCCTGAACCAGCAGTCGGCCAAGCGGTGTCTCTGGCTGTGTAGGAGGTTCACGCACTTCCCGTCGCACAACGTGCCCGAGGATGCCAAGTCATACACCTCCACTGAGCCCGAGTCCAAGAAACGGCTCGACATTCTCAAGTCCGAGCTCAAGGTGCGCGATAATGCCGTGGCAGCTTGGTGGTAGCTGCTGTTCTGAGACAGCGCTGCCACACTGTTTCATTCGCTGTCTAATAGAACAATCATACTTTCTTATTTTAGGCCTTCAGTTCAACGCGAGCTCAGCTAGTTTGAGCAAAAGTGGATAAATCAGCCAGATTTGACTGTTCATCTTTTCGCGGCATTGGATACTCACATTGCAGCCGTTTCCCACAAACTGATGATCATTACCAACTGTAGTTGTCACCATTCAGCCACCATTATGAAGCTTATCTCTTGACACTCGGCTGTTGTCGAGGCCCTTGTCTCTGCGTCCGCCTGTGTGTGAGTGCCTGAACAATGCGTCTCGCCAGGAACGCCTGGACGAGACGCGGATGCTCAAGTTTATGGTCAAGTGGCACACGGGAGGCATGGACGTCAAGCACAGCGAGCACAAGCAGTTCGTGGAGGACTTGTGCGCCCAGTTCTCCCCACTCATCATCTCCGTTATTGATAACGTGCTCTCCGAGGACGAGTCGAAGGTAAAGTTGTTTTCAGACGTCATTAGAAGGCTTGGCACTAAATCTAGGCGTGGATTCAGGGTTAACTTCAGGGGCACTGCGTCGCGATTAGCAAGAGAAGGGATAAGCATCGGAGCGTGCCGTTGATATACAATGTGGATCGTCTGAGGAAAACAACGCTTCTCGTTTCATTGTTCCGAAACCACGGCATTAGGCGATCGATGCCCCCATTTAGCACCGCAGCCTCCCATTGTTTCGATTACTGACGTCCACATGGCACGCCATTGGCATTCATGAATCGTTTCACGGTCTGTTACAGCTTTCGCACATCCAGGAGGAGCTGAAGACGTACCTCGGCGTGGAAAAACGTCTCTTCCACGAGCTGATGCAGCAGTCTCTGGCCTGCCGGAACCGCTTCAACAGGTTCCATGGCAGGCCAGAGATGCTGGTGAAAATCCGAAGGTATCGCCGGCTGTTTTTCGATATTTTAAGGTTTTACCACGAACCTGGGACGTTTTGTCCTTTCCGGAAGCACATTTTACTCTTGGCGATATGCGCTGAGTGTCTGTTAAGGAGGACTCCGCAGGTCTCGTTGTGCTCGGAAAGTTTATGAGTTTCAACTAAGGTGTGATATTCGCTGTGCAGAAATGGCCATTAATTGCATCTTATGTAGCTTCGTTGCACGCAACCCAACGTACAAGAGCGTATAAAAATCGCATCAGTTGAAAAACATGCCAGGGTGCTGCCAACATGAGTTAAAAGACACCGAGTCTTCTTAATTTAAAATTGCGATCCCACGTTAGATGTATGAGTATATGAATCCGTATTCATGCAAAACAAATGCAAGTCTAGCATACTAGTTGAACCGCATGCATAGCATAGGTCTCATTCATGGCACCCTCATGCTGACGGGACCTGCCACTTACGCCTGGCCGACGGTGCGCTCCGATGCCAGGTACCTGAATAACGACTCGTGCGTGCCGCTGATCCTGCACGGGCGCGCCGGCTGCGGCAAGTCGTCACTGATCGCCAAAGTGGCCGAGCAGTGTGGTAACTGGCTCAACAACCCGCAACTGAGCGTCCGCTTCATCGGTCAGTGGCGACTGCCGGCGGCCGCTCACGGAGCTGCGGGTGTCCGGCCGCTGCTCTGCTATCCGTGTTGAGTCGCTCTCGGAGCTGAGAGGCGGGGGGGGGGGGGGGGGTGACCACGGTGTTCGGCTGTTTATGGAGCCGGTGGTGTTCGGCCGCGGTGTTGGACTGCTCACGGAGCCGGGGGTGTTCGGCCGCTTTTGGAGCCTTGATGTTCAGTCGCGTTGTTTGGCCGCTCCCGGAGCCGGCAGGTGTTCTGCTCCCGGAACTGGGGGCGTTCACCCACTCGTTCCCGGAACTGGGGGTGCTTGGTCCCGGGGTTTGGCCGCTCCCGAAGCCGGCAGGTGTTCGGTCGCGCTCTCTGTGACCGTGACGAAACGCATACCATGAATACCACATGCAAGCAAACGCAAACACGCTTCAAAGATGCCCGGGCGAAATGCCCTGAGAGCTTTCTGAGATCGGATTAACTTATAAATGTCCTGAGAGCATTCTGAGGTCGGATTAACTTATAAATGTCCTGAGGGCATTCTGAGATCGTAGTAACTTGCAAATGTCCTGAGGGCATTCTGAGGTCAGATTAACTTATAAATGTCCTGAGGGCATTCTGAGATCGTAGTAACTTGCAAATGTCCTGAGGGCATTCTGAGGTCGGATTAACTTATAAATGTCCTGAGGGCATTCTGAGATCGTAGGAACTTGTAAATGTCCTGAGTGCTTTCTGAGATCGTAGTAACTTGCAAATGTCCTGAGAGCATTTTGAGATCGGATTAACTTATAAATGTCCCGAGAGCATTCTGAGATCGTAGTAACTTGCAAATGTCCTGAGAGCATTCTGAGATCGTATCAACTTATAAATGTCCTGAGAGCATTCTGAGATCGTAGTAACTTGAAAATGTCCTGAGAGTATTCTGTGATCGTAGTACCTTGAAAAGGTTCTGAGAGTTTTTGTGATGGGACTAAGCTTGAATGGTCTGAGGGCTTGCTGAGATGGGATTAACTTGTGAATGTTCTAAGTGCTTGCTGAGATCGTAGTTACCTGTAAATACTCCATCACGTGATACTAATGACTGATATTTGGCACTGATGACGAAACGGGGTCGTTTTGACGCCTGACAGCTGTTGTCTAAGCGAAAAATCACGGTGTTCGAGATCGGATGTGGAGGTCGGTGCTGTGTGGACGGTGCTGAGGTTGGCTGTCTGTCCGCCGCAGGTCTGACCCCAGACAGCAGCACCACGGAGCTGGTGCTGCGCAGTATCGCAGAGCAGTGCTGCGTCCTTTATGGCGAGCACTCAGCCACCGTCAGCAAGGTATGCCCGTCAAATATCTAGGTCCGCAGAAATTAGGGACTTGAAAATGGCCTTTTGATAGAGTAGTGAATAACTGAACATTAATAGCCCATCAAAGACTTGATAATAGCCCATGAGTGGGCCGGGAAACCCTTTTATTTCATATGTCACGGTGCTAGGGGATCAGGACAGGGTCAGATAGCTAAATCAGGTCAGGTAAATTCAGGAAAGGGTCAGAAAAGAAAGAATAAGCCAGGTTACATGCTGGCGAGCGCGGTCAGTGACGATCTTTGGATAGTGCTTTCTGGGATGTGTCACCTCCCACCAAAGTTGGTTTGCAGCTTTATGCCTGCAGCGCGTACTTTTCCGCTATCTCACATGGCTCATGCGTAAATGCAAAATGTTCTGAAAGCTTTACAACGTACAGCTCACTCTGGTATGTTTCACTGAAAATGACAATGCAAGCTAGCTTTTTTTATTTCTATTTCAGCGAGCTGTCTGTTATTTATATTCTACTTTGTTGCACTAATCGAGCAGAGCTCCCGCGATGTGCCGGGCTATGTTTCTATCGCTCTGAGCTGCGCGTCCACTTCCCGCTGCTTCGTCCGGGCGCCTGACCACGCGTTCATGAGCTAGACTGTGCCGCAATACTCCGATGTATGGCGGGTCGGGACGACCGGTGGCCGGAGCTGCGCTCGAGCAGGCTAAGGTCCCCAAACGGCCGCGGCCCTTTCTCACCTCCCGCCTCCCTCCAAGGGCGGATAAGAATGGACGTTGTATTTTCCCGATGACGATTTGAAAACATATCGCGGTTTAGCTGTCGGTATTTCAGCAAGGTTTGAAACGCGGCGAACTCAGTGTTCAACCCTCATCTTCCTTTTGATACTCACATGAGGAGCACCTACAGTTATTTCTCTGATTTAGCATGCATCTGTATGCAATCATCTACACGTATTCTACATCATCTGCACGTAAACGTGACTGACACATCCACCTGCCACCTTGATCAAGCAATATTTACGAAAGTCGGTTAAAAAAGTTAATTATTAAACCAAATTAAAAACTGAATTAAAAAATTAAATATTTACGAAAGTTGGTTAAAAGTCGTGTCATTCTATCGAGTCCGTAGTGGCAGCAGGGATCCGTCGTTTCGGTGCGTTCTCATAATCCGGCCTGCTCCGTGATATGCCCTCCACCCGTCTAACGAGCCGTGCATGCTTTAGGGCATTGGTGACCTGAACACGTACCTGGCACGGGTACTCAGCAAAGCCAGCGCCGCCCGCCCGTTGGTGGTCATGATAGACGGACTGGACCAGGTCAGTGGCTCTCCCTGGGATGTCGCCCCGGCCAGTGACCTGTCTTGGCGTACCGACGGGCTAACCCTCCTAAAGTTTCCACTGGCCGTGCTGCCAAAAGAGTGATAAACATATGAACAGTGCCAAGTGGCAAGCACAGCTAAATCAGTATCTTCTCTTGATCTTAAACACGCAGTTGACCATGGTAATTTAACAGTGACAACTAATTCACGTTAGCATAGAGACATGCTGACACTTTCACTGTGTGGCTGCTTATCACAGCTGGAGGCTTTAGCCGTGATAGCGCTATTGACGCTGCTGCGTAGGCTCTGCGTTGACGATAAGCGAAGGATGTATGTGCTTGCGCTTTACGCTGTAGGTTAACATGCGACATTGCATCATCATCGATTTCGCATGTGATGTTACATCATTATTATATCATCGTTGGACAATTATCTGATATAATCGATACATGCGAAATGACATTACGTTACCACTGACATTTTTCTTGGGCGGTGTTTTGTGGTGATTAAAAAAATGACTAGATGCTACCGTTTTTAAAATTAACTTTGCCGGCATGTGTGTCGTGTCCAGGTTCGCTCGTACAGCACCCGGAAAATGGATTGGGTGCCGAAGGAACTGCCGGAGCACACGAAACTCATACTGACCATGGCAGATGACTGCGAGGAGTTTGCCGACCTGGAGAAAAAGATTGACGACAAATCGTGCTTCCTTAAGGTAAACTCTCACCTGTTTGGTGTGGTCGGCACTGCGGACTGCTTATTGTTACAAACGCGTTTTCCTGGGCACAGTTGTTGCCTATAGTCACATAAATGTCGTCAAAACTGCTGACTTAATCGATCGCTTTCAAAAGCGATGTGTACTTGTGCTCTGTTGTGAGCCATCGTAAGGGTTAAAATAGCACTGAATCCACGCTCCTTCTGATAGCTTCATCGGGGAAACCTTGACCATTCACATGAATGCATGCTCATTCACATGCTTATTTGTGTGCTCTATGTTCCCCACTGAGCAGGTGGGCCCTCTGACAACGGAGGAGGCCACAAACATCCTGGACAGCATACTGAAGGAGAACAACCGTAAGATCAACAAGGGCCAGCGAGAGGTCGTAAACCGCTACATCAACGAGTGCCCCCTGCCGCTCTACGTGGAGGTGAGACGTGCGCGGTGCACCCAGACTTCTCACTGCAGCGGATCATTGACATGTGCAGCGTCTCACGACAGCGGACCATCGGCATCCAGACTTCCCACCGTCGCGGACCATGGGCGTGTGGAGCTCGTACAATGGTTTCGCAGCACGTGCCGATACGCCGACGGACGCCGTGTCTACTTATGGTGCGCAGTCCGCGGGTGTGGTACTGTCATGACTACTGTTGGTGCGCAGTCCGCGGATGTGATGAGGCGTGCCTAACGTTGGTACATAGTCCGCTGGTGTACAAGCTGTGTTGTATGTTAAGATATCGTTGAGTAGTAACAGACTGGTGATGACCAAAGCGCATGCGTAACCCATGGCGTATGGCGACACCGTTGATCAGCTCATACGACCCAAAATCATCATGTAAGCTTAGTGTCGTGGCTCTACTCGCCACGAACTTCAGCATGTGTTCTTCGGGACGCGGCAGGGGCATATACACCTCAGACTAACGTCATGGAGCCTAGTTTGGGCCAGGCTAAGAGGCAGGCCCCGAACCGGGCGATGCTGGTCCACCCTCTGAACGCTCCGCGCCGAGACAACCCGTCGGATGCTGAATGAAGGAGACACGCACGAGACGCTGAACCGCCCCGGGGACAGGACGTCTCATTCCGTCCCTGATTTTGGCCCGCTTCCGACCATGTCTCGCGTGTCAGTTCTTGGCCGCTGACTTAACTCCTGGCTGACTGACCTGGTCGCTGACCTGGCCGACTGGTCTGGTCGACTGACCTTGTCGACTGACCTGGTCGCTGACCTGGTCGCTGACCTGGTCGCTGACCTAGCTGACCGACCTGGCCGTTGACCTGGCCGGCTGACCTGGCCGACTGATCTGGCCGAGTGACCTGGCCCACTGACCTGACCGCTGACCTGGCCGCTGACCTAGTCGCTGCCCTGGCCGCTGACCTGGCCGCTGACCTGGTCGCTGACCTGGCCGCTGACCTGGCCGCTGACCTGGCTGCTGACCTGCAGCCGGCGGTGCGCCCGCAGGCGGTCGGTCTGACCACATGCAACTGGACGGGCGGCGAGGAGCACCTGGCGCTGCGCTCCACGCTGGTGGAGCAGATCCACGTGGTGCTGGACGAGCTGGAGAAGGAAGTCGGCGTCGTGCCCGTTAGTATCTGGGGGAGGGAGGAGTGGGGGGGGGGGGGGGGGGCTGTGCCGGTCGGTGTCATGGGAGAGGTGGGCAGGGGCGCTGCGTCATTCCGTATACTGCTGCGACAGAAGTGATTTTACTTTACTTCCATCGTTCAAGCAGGTTAAAATGGTAAGAAGGCGGCCAAGTCCTTGCCCGAACTGCGCGCCCGCCCAGCGTGGCGACAGAATGGAAATGGCCAATCACAGAATAAAAAGGTGAAATGGTTAAATAGCGAACCATCTCCAGCCCATCCATGTGCGCCTCGCTATTTTTATATTGATGTTACCTGCTATGTTTGCATTTATTATTATGTCTACTTATCATTTGTTTTGCGTGTTCTGTCCATTATCGCTACAGTTAATTTCACGGGTACCTTCTCATTTTTGGTCCAGTATCTAGGTACGGACGGGGTTTTCTGGCGTCTCCAATATAGCTGGTCAGGGTGGTAATTACCAATCCGGTCAGTGAACTCAGCCCGGCGTCGTACTCCTGGTGCTTCCCGGGGTCCCTTGGTTTAGTTTGTCCTCTTAGATAATGGAAGTTCATCTATTGATGGAAGCCGACAGCTGCAAGTGTAGCAGTCTAAGCTTCGATGAGTCCTGCGGTCGTCTCCGCGCAGTTGCGCAGTCCGTCGGCTGCTCGGCTGTTCGCCATTCAAAGTTTTCAAGCTTCGTTTCAAAAGGTTCCAGCAACTTTCCTCGGCGGTCTGCCAGCAATCGATGGGTAGAAAATTGTTCCCTCTTTCATGAGTAAAGATTGGCATTACTTCATCACATCGAAAAAATATATCAATTGGGTCATCGTTGCTCAATGTGATGTGCTGCAGCTCTGTGGCTCTTGCCGGTGGACCTGCATTGCCAAAATCGCTGACAGGGTTTTTGTGCCAGTCGAGGGGTCGGGTGGGTCAAGGGACCTAACTTTTGTTCGCGGGTACATGATATGGGCACCATCTCAACCGGTGTCGGCACATTTCAACGCGCGCCCGACCAGCTGGTTGAATGCTGTTCGCTCGGGCGGAGGTCAGTTTGACCGCCTGAGATCTCAGAAGAAAGCTAGAGACACCAAATTTACAGTGTTTGCATTAACGTGCATTTAAAAAAAAATTGCATTTACTTTATTTACATTTATTTACATTTTGGCCTAAATTTTCAGAGTTTGGCATAAACTCAAGATTTCAAAATTTGAGGTTCCGAGACCGTGACTTTTGGGTCAAATAAAGTCAAACAAGGTCAAACTCTAGATTGGTGTCCAAAGTGCCCCGTACCGTCTGATGCTACCACCGTGTACTTAAATACCTGTTCTAGGCAAAATGTCACTGGTGCTTGTTAAAAGCCAGTGACCTTTTTGGCCTTTAGGAGGTCATGGTAAGGAAAATCATGCAGGACTGCTTTGAGTTGTGTATTTAAGCAAGCGTCGAGGATTACGTCAGTCAGTGTTTTCCTAAAAAAAAATGTTCACCTTATTCATTTTAGGTCAGTGGCCTATTCTGACCTTTAAGGAGCTCATAGAAGATGTATGATGCGGTTGCTATCATCAATAAATTCAAAATGAGCACCAGAAACTACCTCACACAGCAAGCTCAAGAGAAAAAACCAAGCTGGTTTTGACCTTTGACCTTCATATGTGACTAGGTCAATGGAATTTGTTTATTCAATTGTTCTGTCACGTAAGAAACTATCTCAGAGATGTATGGTCTTGTCTAACACCCCGTTGTTGCGTCGGATTGAATGATTCCCTTGAAATTGTCTTCCTTGAATCCATTGCCTGACTTTCACTTGTAATACAGCGACCTTATGAGGTATATCTTAATTTTGACACCAAAAGATTTGCCATTTGATTGCCTACAGCTATGAGAAATTTGGCGCGGGCTCGTCACCCCGCTCGGAAATCATTCCGGAAAAAGCTTCAGAGGAAAGGGGGACAAGTTCCCCCCTCCCCCCCCCCCAAGTCCGTGTTAACAGAACCCGAATATGACCGGGCGCCACACGCCCTAAGGTGTGGCTCACCCTGCAACTGACTCGATCTATCTGCAGGTGTCGCGCATCCTGGGCTATTTGACCGCGGCCCGTCAGGGTCTCAGCGACTCGGAGATCATGGACCTGCTCTCTTGCGATGAGGAGGTTCTCAACGAGATCTTTGTCTACAACACACCCCCAGGTTAGATAAGATGCAGAAAATTTCTGCGCTGTATGGTACATGACTGAAGTCGAAACTGATAAAGGATGCATCTCGATAGCAGGGGCAGTGAAAAAGTCATTACGTTTTGTACTCAGCGTCTGCAATTCAGTTTGTTTGTATTTTATTGAATCGACAAACAAAATGGTCGTCTCATTTGTATGGTTCTAACAAGACCTAGGCCGAGGCCCTCATCGATTGACATTGATTGTTCAATCTGCTTTTGGTCATCAGTGGTACCTGCAATGGCGCATGATACAATTTAACTTCAGGTCATAAGGGCTTCAAACCTCAGGTCAGAAACACCAGCAAACAAAATTTACTTTCCTTTAGCTATGCAAGGGAAGCCCACTCGCAAAAATAGCAGTTGTGCCGCTGGATTTGTCTGAACATTCTTCTGGCGGAGAGATTATGTGGCAAAGCTGTTGGATAACCCCAGAGCTTGTGACCAATGATCAGTTCAGCCGCTGAGTCGAACGGACTCGGCTGAGCTCTGCTGCGTCGTGTTCCAGTTCGCCGCTGCCCGTCCATCCTGTGGACGCAAATCTCGTCCCGGCTGTCGCCGTTCCTCATGAAGACCATCGTCTCTGGCCTCTGCCTCACCACCTGGAAGGACAACACCTTCTCCAAGGTGGCCCGAGAGCGCTACTTCAAGCAGGAGCAACAGTTTACGCCCTGCATGGCGCTCTACGACTACTTTACGGTATGACACGACTCCACTCAAACTTAACCAGCTTGACCTACGAACGAAAGTGTTGAACACGGAATTTTCGAACCTCAAAGCGCTCTGACAGCGAGCAGTAATAGTAACCAAGGCACTTGTAATGAAAACCTTTTCATTTATGACATCCCTTTAAAAACCTAAATATTACTTCTGCTATCCACGATATTTTTTCGAACCAGTCATGAAGGTCATGAAGCTGTCGTAAATCGCATTGAAGTTCTTCTAATATTTTCTGTTTGACGATTTTCTATTAGACAAATGGGGACGATCGTGCATATAGCGGGAACAGTGACCAAACGAGCTGAGTCAGTTACATCAGTAAAACCTCGTCACAAGAAGACGTTGAACGGAGCCGAACCCGATAACTTCGGTCGCGCCGCTGCGCAGGGAAAGTGGGCGAACGGGAAGCGGAAGCCGGTGCTGCTGCCTGACGGCGAGCAGGCGCTGGACGCCGACAACAAGCCGCTCGAGCTGGAGCGCTTCATCATGGACCAGCCCATCCGCTACAGGAGCAGGTGCGCGCGCTCCCTCCCGCGCGGCGGGTGCATGGCGGGTGCCGGCGGCGCCCCGACTCACGGCGTTCGCTGCTGAGGGCTTCGGTGCTCCGTGCGTGCTGTCGACTAGCGACCGCATGCCAATATCCGACACGCTAATATGCCGACGTGCCGACGTGCCGACATGCCGACATGCCGACATGCCGATATGCCGACATGCCGATGTGCCGACATGCCGACATGCCGATATTCCGACATGCCGACATGCCGACATGCCGATATGCCGACTGACGATATGCCGACTGGCTGTATGCCGATTATGATCGGCTCACCGATCTTTGGAACTCTGGTTAACCTGGAATATTAAAGCAGTATCAAAGGGCGATTTCATAATGCAAACCATGATATCAACATGATCTGATTGTGTTGGTTTAATGATTTTAAATAGAAGTTCAAGTTTCAAATTCGCTAACGTAGCTTTTGCTATTCCAATGTTATGTTGCTGCCACAGCATAGGACTGGATTATGTTTTGTTATTAGCATAGCATACCATGCTGACTTGAATGCTAATCTTGTCTTTTTCCTTGTCAAAGTCTCGCTAACCTTGTCTTTGTTTGTCTGACTAAGTCTCGCTAACCTTGTCTTGTTCTTTGCTAACCTTGTTTTGTCCTCGCTCTAACTAAGTCTTGTTTTTTGTAGGCTAACCCAAAGAATGGAGGGATAGATGTTTTAATATTTCGACTACATGCCTTTATTGAATGACACGCATTTCAACATATTTCATTCCGGTGAAGACATGTACCCGAAACATGATGCATCCTTCCCTCCATTCTCCTGGTTATCATAAGAGGAATGAGTCTGCTAATACTGGCCTATCTATATACATGACGCTCCCCGCAAAAACACTTCACAACTTCATCACGTTCTGGTTAACCACATCACCAACGTGACAATGAGCAAGCCTATTGCGCGGCTTCCTGCACCCTGCAGCGAATTGAAACATTACATGACACCATTTTCTATGCATTCTTAGGTATAACCGGCGGCGACTGGACGAGCTACCGTACCAGGTGTTCCAGCTGACGGGCAACATTCTAGACGACTTTGTCCTGAACAACGAGTGGGTCTACGACAAGCTGTGCGGGTCAACCGCCTACCAGGTACGCCAGCGCTGTCGCTTGTCGCTGCGCGTGGCACGGGGCTGGTTCACTTCAGTGTGACGTGATGGTCGCACAGTTGTAGCGAACTGTGCGATGAAATAAGTTCCGTCACAAGCCGTGTCCTAGCCTTTATCAGCATTAAGCAGCTGTCTCGTGTGCAGATCATTCCCCAAACTCACGTTCATGTAGAGGCAAGGCGCGCGTGCGCGAGCGCGCGCGCGCGCGCACACACACACACACACACACACACACACACACACACACACACACACACACACACACACACACACACACACACACACACACACACATGCGCTGTTACACCAATAAGCGATCCTAACAGTGGCAGTGAAGTTATACTTTGGAACCATTTTTAGCTCGCATATTCCGTGTTCATTATTGCGTTAAACCAGTTGTGCATTGGCCACTGACATCGACCACACCTTGCCACATGACGGTATGGACCGCTCGGCTCAGGCCGCCCCGGGCAGCGGGGCCAGCGGCGGCCGAGCGTAACACACAGGTCCACGGTCACCGCTCTGCTCAGGCCGCCCCGGGCAGCGGGGCCAGCGTTAGCCGAGCGTGACTCACAGGTCCACAGTCACCGCTCTGCTCAGGCCGCCCCGGGCAGCGGGGCCAGCGGCGGCCGAGCGTAACACACAGGTCCACAGTCACCCGGTCACCACCACGCCCTCGAGCGGTACATGGCACATTCGAACAGCGTCGTCCGGCGATGCACTCACAGCCAACGCCCGTTTGGCGCGGCTGGCCGAGGTGATCCATAGTCGCCGCGAGTTACCACACCACACCACACATGATCATCCTCATTGCGTTAAATAGTGTCAACGCTGCTGCCCACCCCAACAAAAGCAGCGCGCCTCCGGTCCGGCCGTCAGCTAGCGTGCCTAGCCCGTATTGGCCCGGCTCGTGACCCGCTCCCGGTGGCGGCCGACAGGTGCTGGAGGACGTCAGCCTGGCCATGAGCAAGGACCCGGACAACAAGGAGCTGCAGCTGTTCCGCGAGCTGTTGGAGCTGAGCAGCTACGCGCTCGGCTGTGACGGCCGCCAGTTCTACACGCAGTTCTACGGCCGGCTGATGCAGTTCATGAAGGAGGAGGAGAACCAGAAACAGTACCCGGTGCGTGCCCCACCGCGCTGGGCGGCCTGTCGCCGGTGGCCACTGACCCAGTCATTCTTATCATGTACACTGGCTGCGATTTTAAATGGTAGTCCTGGATTTTGAACAGTTGAGACCGTCTTCTTTAAGTCGTCGTTATTACACAAGCTGGCCGAGGACTAGGGATGTCCTCGAGCATGTGCGACTGAGCCCCCGGTGTCGTCTCGCTCGCGTCCGCACCGTCGCTGCAGCCAGAACGGAGTGGGGCAGGGGGGCGCACTGGATGCTTTGGCGCTCCATTACGCGAGCCTGCTGCCCCCCGACCACGAGTGGATTATACGCCGGGGTCTGTACACAGCGCCTGCGGCGAGGTACTTCAGTATGGAGCATGTGGTTTGCTCGGCTGCAGCTCTGCGTGCTGGTCGTGAAAAGCCCAGTAGCTGAGGTATGAACGACTCCGTTTTGTCACGGTACTCGCACCATAATTATGACCGGCATTAGTTACGCATCTTTGGTGGCAGATACGTAACGTTGCAAGCTAATTTTATTAGCAAGCCAATGAAAGAATGTTTTCACCATGGCTTATTTAACAATGGCCCGTTTTCTCTCTGCAGCTGATGAAGGCGATCCACGACAAAGCCTTCAGTGCGCCTGAACCGTCGTTGATACCGCTAGGGTTCATTCTGCAAGAGCCGGGACAGGCTGAGCCGCCGGTTAACGACAATGTCTACTTTAATCAACTGTACAGGTCAGTTGGAAAACAGTTTGATCTCGGCTTGAGTGCTATCCTACATCCGTTCTGCTCTTTCGAGGCGTGGCAAGTGCCTTGTTGCTTGTACTCGAATAGAAAAATATTCAACTGGACCGTAAGGTGTTCCGTTAAGGCTCTCACTACTGGGTTCTGTCGAAGCCCGGGGTCTACGCTTTCAAAAATAAGCAACTTTATGCTTGTGGCCAATGAGGCATATCACAATTTCCTCTTGGACTTTATGCAAACGCTGCTTTAAACCACACAATCGGCACCGACGCCCGGGGGTCATTGTCCCCAACCCCTCTCGTCTCTCCTACCCCCCCCCCCCCCTCCCTTCGCCAAAGCGCATGACCAGTCGTATCTTATGTGATCGCAGGGCTAAACAGAATCCGCACCACGTGATCACGGTGTCGCACACGCGCGGGGAGATCGCCGTGTGGAACATCTACACCATGCAGGCGGTGCGCACGCTCAAGGGCATCCACCAGCCGCAGAGTCTCAAAATGATCGACGAGTACCGGTGCCTGGTACGGATACTGCGTGCTGTCTGTCGGTGGTGTTGACGTCGCGTTCGAGCCTGTCGGCGATATGAATGAGGCGCCCGCAGCTTAAGTGCATAAATAACCAGCGACCAGTTTGGACCGCTGTCATGTTGAAAGGAGTACTTTCGAGCCTTTGAAATATAATTCAAAACATTTGTAGGTGCCGTGTGCGTATGTCATTGTTGTCATGTGCGACCACTGACACCACGTCCGTATTTATTCGTCAGGTACTCTCGGGCCGTGAGCTGAAGATTTACAACTTCGACGAGGGTCTGTTCGTGATGAAGCTGAAGCAGATCATGAACCAGAAGATGCCGTACTACGGCCTGCACAACCAGGATCATGTCGTAGCGCTCTCAAGAGACAGGATGTACGTCAACATGATGAACTTGCAGAACGGCGACTGTGTGGCTACATTCAAGGTGAGAGAACTGACGAGTCGACACCAATGTCGACTTGCGTCGTGTGAGAAAGTTGCGACACTCTTTCACCGCTCGTAAGGCGATATTCCCGTTCCACGGGTACCTCCTGTCATGATGTTTCAAAATCCCCCGGAGCACCGTCTGCAATCCACCACCAATTACCGTGCCGGGGATTTATGTTCGCATTGAGTGGCAGCGATTCATCTCGTAACGAACTAGTGAAGTCGGTATAAGCCTCTCGCACTTCGGTGTAAAGTCGTTAGCTTAGGTCGCGTGATACTCCATAATTGAGACCACATTCAGGCACGGCTCTCCGCTGACTGACCTTCCCCCTACCCAACCTGCTGTAGCCTATTTCGATGCGCGCGTCTGACCTGAGCCGCTGTCTTCGTCACCGTAAGCCGGCGAGCGGTGCGGCCTGCCGCTGACGACAGTCCTTCCGTCGCCGTCAGGTGGGCGAGGACCGCTTCCTGAACTCGCTGATCGTCTCGGAGGACGGCCGCATCTGCGTGTGTGGCGACGAGACCCAGAAGCCGTTCCCGCTGCTGGTCTGGGACCTGCAGAGCCGCAAGCTCATGTACGACCTGCGCATTCCGCACCACGAGTTCGTCACGCGGCTGGCGGCCATCACCTCCGAGGGACACTACGTCTGCTGCGGCTGCCGCGAGGTGCGATCATCGCAGCACTTCCTCAACCGGAGCGGTGCTTAGGTCGAATGCTTACAAATCGGCCCCGCGGCCTCCCGGTTAGACGCTCACGACAAGGTGCCGGGTGTGGTCATCCGTATCCATGATATACAAGGGCTGCGTGGTTACATACTCATGACAGAAATCATCAAGGCTCTCTCCTAAAAGGCGAAATGAGCAAATTTCCCAGGCTTTCAGGAACATCTAAAGTTTCCACGAAGCGAACTTAAATTGCTGATGACGGGTACTGATAGTCTAGTGATGAAGCCGCACGTCTGGGAAACCATAGGTGCGGAGTTCGATATCACGCGGCGCCCGCCCTTCTTGCGAGGGTGGAAGGTAGACAACGTCATGTGGCCCCAGTAGCGGAGCGCGCCGTGAAGCCCCAATGACACCCACGCGCACTCGCGCACACGTACACGTGCGCAGGCTGCTGATGGCGTTCCAGCACCAGTGCGTCAGAAAACTGGCATGCATGCCGGTTTATTTATCTTTCAAATATCTTGCAGTTATCTTTCAGATAGCACGCCTTCTTTCGGCAAGGTTCACTGCCTATTCTGCGCCCCATCCGCGGCAGCGCCGCCCAAACATGGCCGCCACTTAGTTCGCGCTCTCTGCAGGTGGATGAGCCATCTTCGCCGACGTTCGTGGTCGTGTACGACCTACAGAGCGGTACCCTGTTTAAGAAGTGCAAGCTTGGCGTCAACGTCGTCTCCATGGCTATCTCGTCACAGAGCAGCTGTATCGTTGTCGGCCTGGAGGACTGCATGGTCGTGGTCATAGATCTAATATCAGGTCAGGAAAGATCTCGTCACAGAGCAGCTGTATCATTGTCGGCCTGGAGGACTGCATGATCGTGGTCATAGATCTAATATCAGGTCACGAAAGCTATCCCTCTCCCGACAACGTGATTTGCCCCGGTCAAATGACGCATGATATTCGAATCCACGTCTCCTCCGCAAGGTGTAAACGAAAAAAGCAGTGAGTGACAAACATTTTTTAAGTTGAAGACGACCATAGGTCAGCCTAGCCTCACAGGTAGTAGATTGCGGCGAAAGCACCCCATCCCTTTGTCGCCGTATTAGCAGGGGAAAGGCGGCTGCATGGGACCATCAGTGTCGGCGCCCGCGTGTTGTATGACGTTGCGTCACCGTTCCGGCCAGGCAACACGCGGTGGAATCTGAAGGGCCACACGGCACCACCGGACGCCATCCGCTTCGACAACCGCGGCCACAAGTTCCTCACCTTCGACTCGGAGGGACGGGACAGGTGAGACTCGAAGCCCGCCATCGCACTCTGCTTTTTGATTCGTTAAGGGTCAATGAGACAAGTCAAAGTCTGTACATTCGAGTAGATCATTTAATCGCTTCAGACCCGCTCTCATTTTTAAGCTGAACCTTAGCTTTAAAGAGAACGGAGCATTTAGATAAGACAGTAGTAATAACCTTACTCCTCGGAAAAACCAGGAGAATGGAGATCTGTAATATGAATATAAATATATAATAATAAAATATATATAAGTATATATATATATATATATATATATATCATAAATATACAGATTGGGCGATCTGTGCGACCGCCCAGAGCGGCAGCACCCACCCCAGCCAATGGCGCTGACCCGCCGCCTCTGGCGGTCGCCAGGTCTGTGCGGGTCTGGGAGTTGATGACGGGCAACTCGCTGGGCGTGTTCACGCCCGACCAGACCATCACCGCCTGCGACCTGTCCGGCGACGGCCGGGCCGTCATCTTCGCGCTGAAGGGACGCAGCCACATCGTCACGCTGGCGCTCTGCCACGGCCAGGGCCTCGAGCTGCCGCAAGTCAAGCAGTACGGTAGCGAGCAGAACCAGGGGAAGACGTTCGATCTCTCTCAGGCCGGGTAAGCCGGCCGGAGTGCCACGACGAAGAAGAGCTGTGGAGCGCGTGCTCGTTTGCCTTGCTAGTCATGGTGTTAATCGTGGAACGTCAAGCACACTGTTATTTAATCAGAAGAGTGAGTCCGTCTTCTCTTCAGCAATGCTTGTTAATGAGTTTTGGGCTAGCGACGCGTGAGCGAATCTGGAGATCCCCGATCTGTCCTCAGAACTTGGACGAACAATGACAAGAGTCTGTGGGGCAACTGATGCCGCCCGCCAGACCAGACGGGCGCTGCTGGCGGGGGCCTGAGGGCGGGCCGCGGCCTCGGCCGCCTTCCGGCCCCCGGCGCCGCGCGGCAGGACCCTACCGCTCCCGCCGCGTCCGTCACCCCGGTATGCAACGCTGCGGTCCGGCAGCCCAGCTGACTCGCGCCCCGGAAACCCGCGGCCGACCTGGCCCCCGGCCGGCCACTGACCCCGCCCCTCCCGGCAATACTCAGTGATGCCTCCCGCCCCACCCCCGCCCCACCCGCCACCTCGCCCAGGACGGCGCATCGCTCCCGGCAGTGCCGCGGCCTCTTCCAGGGCAGCGAGCCGCGGCCGCGAGCACCGAGCCGCCCCACAGATCGCATGGAGCCCGTACCGTTTGTCACAGTGTCGGTGTCACAAGTTTTCTATGTCTTCAGGTGTGCGAGTGGCTGGTTGTGATGTTAAGAGAACTTCAATAAAAATCACAAAAGAAACGCACGGAGCTGTGCGGGCGGGTTTACGCTTTAGGCGATACGTTGAGATCCCAGGGACCACACGCTGCGGACTCAACTTGCTGCATTTATTTGCCAAGGGCACAAAACCAGAAGTACGATTGGTAACGTTCCAAACAAAAGAAAACGACAATCGATGAGGTCCGATGGCATCCTTCTGGTAGACGTCTCAAAAGCACGTAAAACTGAAATCTATTCGACATACAACCCTCACCCACACAAACAAAAGCCAGCCTCTCTTCGCTGCAGCTGCTCTGCGCGTCACAGCACGATGTAGCGGCCTGCCAGCGGCGGCACCACGCGCAGCGTCCCTGCCGGCCGGGCGGCGTGGCTGCCGTCCGGCGTCCAGCCGGCCCTTGCGCTCACACCGGTGCGGCGGCCGCCGCCGGCCCACTCATCACCCGCCACGGCGCGGCCGAGCGCCCACGTCCCGGGCAAGCGGGCCAGGTCCTCACTAGGCAGGAGTCAGTCCGGGCCGGGTCAGATCGGGTCACACCTCCGGGTGTTACTCAGCGCCGCCCACCGTCTGCTGGCCGCCACCGCGCAGCGCCGTCACCTTCTGGCCCTGGGCGGCGCACGAGCGCGCCACGCTGTCGAACAGTTTCTCGATCTCGGGCGCGCAGTGCACGAACTCGTGGTTCCAGAAGTTGAATGTCGGGTTCTTGATGAGCTCGATGAAAGTGATGAGCAGGCCCCACGGGTGCGGCCGGTTGACGATCAGCCGCTCCAGCAGCACCCTACCGGGCCGGGCTGGGTCAGAGGTTGGCCATACGCAGCGGTACGTGGGGGAGGTGCCGCCTCATGCTGTCCGAGCGGCCGACCACCACGCGCACCGCCTGAGAGAGGCCGCTGCGAATATGACCGCGGCCAGCGACCGACCGGACTTGGCACGCAGGACGACGGTCACAGATCGGTTAAGGGACGGGGTGTGTCAGCCGGCGGTCAGCTACAGCGGGGACGGGCGCCCCGAGGTCAGTCAAACTCGGCGGTGAGGTGAGCTCAGAAGGCGGCCGAACAGGACACAGAGCGCCAGTCAGCGGCCCGTCACGTCAACACGAACAGGCAGCCAGGTCAACGACGTCCGACTGGCCCGTCGAGGTCTAGGCAAGCAGGACAGCGGCCAGTCGGAATTCACTGAAATGTGCCTGAAACTAAGGCGGGCAAAGCAGCGACAGCCTGCGACAGGCCAACACGTGGCACGAGACCTGACCGAGGAAAAGAATAGGAGCCAATTTGACTTCCTCTTCATTTTCTCATCAACAACCGGTCAGGCTGGGGTACCCAAGACACGCGAGCAGTTCTGTTATGCTGAAACGCCGGCATAAATAATAGAACCTCAAACTGCGGGGGATCAGGTAACTGCTACGTCTCTATTGCACAAGCATGCCTCTCCACATTTGAGGAATTATGACCAATTACACAGCACTTGCCCTGCGCGCAAATGGGTCCCTACAGCCTTGCCTTTCGCGCGCAAGTCCTCGTACTTTCAAGCGCAAAGACAGGTGACGAACGCGTTCGTCACGCCGTTATCAATAAGCTCAAAAAGCTTATTCGTTTCAGGCATATTATTCCAGAGGTCGGCATAGGGCAGTTTAAAATGAACCAATTTTTGGCAGGCTTCACTAAGTCATCACTGATACCATGACACTTGGCAATGGTACTTGTACCAGGCCCTCACTATCATGGGTCTATTCTGCCACACAATGCACCGCTTACGCCGCTAAACGGTCCACAATTACCGAGCATAATTCACCAGGCTTTGACCATCGACTCATACAGCTCGGGCATACCCAGAGACTTTTATGCCATCATGACCAGCAATCCACCAGCCGAGGCTAACAGACGTCTAACAGCGACTGGATGCTACCACTGCCTCGGCCGTCGGCGTCAGACCGATCGGCCGGCACCGTGCCCTCGCCTTGTGATCTGCCCCGCGCACCGGCACGGACAAGTGCCACCCTCACACCACTCGCTGGTGTACTTTGTATGTGCCACATGCCGCACAACTCGCCTGGTGATATATCCTGGGTGGCACCCGTGTTAGTCTTGAGTTCGTAGTTCACCCAGACGTACCTGGTGATCTGCTCCTGGATGGCAGCCGTGTTGGCCTCAGCGAACAGGTAGAGCAGCAGGTTGAGGAAGTAGTTGGTGTGGCTGTTCGGGTAGCGCAGCTGGTTGGCGATGGCGTTCAGGAACAGGTACCGGCCTGCCCGACCGGCGGTCGCGTCATACGGGGCCGCACAGAAAGGGCGAGCGCGGCTTGGGGCACCTCATCCACTTCACCTTACGCATTTCATCTACATTTCAGACATTTACCCGGTATATTCAAACCATTTGCGAGCATGTCTGTACTTATCAGTTCATGCCACACGTATCCAAAACAACCGGATTGTTCGTGGTCGCATCCGTCATACAGCTAAGGCACTAATCTCTCACCCAGGAGATTATACAATCGACCCAAATCGCCACATGGGTGAAAGGTACGAAGCACAAACCCACGCCGTGCAAGACTAGTACAAGCTCATAGAGTAATTCAGACGCACCGTCAGTCACCGCTGCTACCCCTACACCCCAACACATCATGAGGCCACTGAGTTCTGCGCCACTCACCCTCAGTGTCCAGATCAACAGCCAGGCTCTGGAAGATGTCCATGTGCGAACTGTGCGTGATGGTCTGCTTGCTCGGCTGCAGCCCCTTGCTCTGGATGGCGGTGATCGCCTGCGTGCCCACGTACAGCACCAGCGCGTTGATCAGCTGGATGTTGTAGCGGCAGCCGGGCTCGGCGGCCGTCTGCAGCGTCGAGCGCAGGTCCGTGACGAACGTTACCGGCGTGCGCGTCTTCAGGTACGTGTCCAGCTCCTGCGCGAGGGTACGATCGGGCGTCAGACGCGGCGGCGGCGGCTGCGGCGCGGGGGCGGTCGGCAGGTGGCAGCGGACAAGTGGCTGCTGCTCGACACACGCAGACCACGCCGCCGCGACGGAGCCTCGGGACGCCGACGGTCGCCGTTCGAGCAGAGGCGGCACCTGCGGCAGACACGTGCCGGCGGCCGTGCCGGCAGCTGGAACGAGCCGCCTCCGTAATCCGCCACGGCAAAGCGACACACCTGCCACTTTCCGCCGCGTGCTCAGCTGCACGACAGCGGAGTGCGTCAGACCAGTCTCGCGCGCGTACTCGGCCCCCACGACGGCCGTCACAGACGAACGTCGGCCCCGCATCCGCCGGTTCGCGGTGCACGCCCGGCAGGACGGCGCCCGAGTGTCACGCGCTCACGTTTTTGAAGCTGGGCGGCTGGATGAGCGAGGCGAAGTTGGTCTGGATCATGGGCGCCTCGCGGATCTCGGGGATCATGTCCACCTGCAGCTTGCTGGTGAACGGATCCGGCGGCGGCATGTTTCGCGGGAACGCCGACAGCACCAGGTTGCGCATCTGCAGGGGAGCATCGGCCGCGTCACAGCGGGCCGGTGGACATCACTTGGAGACCTGAGCTAGTTCGCTGCATTTGCCGAGTTGTGTATCGAACTCAGCCGGACCGGGTTGAACTGGCTCACGTAAATATATAAACTACTGCGAGACAGCTTCCGAGCCAACAGTGAACAACACTACAGCCACGGGAGGTCGCCAAACGCACGTCTGTTATCTCCTTCGATTCTCCACAAACGCATCGGAAGGCCGAGCGGATACGGCCCGTCGCATGCCGCCAGCCGGGACTGGCCGCCGAAGGCCGCCCACCTGGATACAGTTCGGCGGGATGACGTCGCAGAAGTTGTAATGGTAGTCGCAGAGGAACTCGGGGAAGTCGTGCAGCAGCACCAGCAGCACGCGCAGGCAGCCCTTGTACAGGATGGTGATGGGCTTGGCCAGCTCAGCGTTGCGTAGGAACGGCGACAGGAAGTTGAACAGGTCGATCAGCAGCTGCGCGTACGGCCCCCAGCCCTGTAGAGATCGCACGAGTCAGCACGCAAAACAGCGCCCGGAACGCGACGCATCAATCGCCGTTGAATGACTCACTCCGTGTACCGTCACCCTAGCACAGGCCATGAAAATACGAGTAACGCGTCAAAGCCGTCAGCATGAGCAAAGCCAATGCTTGGCGGTGGCTTGTGCCATGTCATGTCATTGGGGCTTTACGACGCCTTCAGCTGCTGAGGCTGTATGGCGTCGCCTGCCTCTAACCCCGGCAGGAAGGGCGGGCACCGCGGGGAATCGAACCCCGTACCTCTGGTTTCCCAAACGCGCATTGGTTAACGCAGATGCATTAACCACCGCACTACCGGCACCACTTGCTGGTGGCTTCATTGCACTTTCTCCGTAAACGCCAACACGATGAGTGAGGTCGACAGTCAGCCGTTGTTGGACACGATCACCAGCGTGCGCAGCTGCGCGCTGTCAGCAGCGGGTCGCCACTACCTACCCTGACCCGGGCATCCTCCAGACCCACCTTGTGCTGTGGCGTGACGGCCAGCATGCGGCCGATGAACACCCGGTGCGAGACGATGTCGAGCCAGGCGTACGCGAACCCGGGCGCCTTCTCCGGCCGCAGGATGTGCAGCACGTTGCAGAATGCCGTCAGCACCTGCGGCAGCGCGTCAAGTCACGCGATCTGCCGCCGCCCGCCGCCACAGGCCAACATGGACCGAAGGAGATCGAACGCTCTGGTGCGAGCTATAAAGCATAGGGCGGGCGCGTCAGCGCGCTTACTGGTTCGCAGATTCGGGACATGCACCCGGTGACAATGCTGAAACAAGCCCGCATCAGCTACTGGAGCAAAAAGCCCGAGGGGACGTCGTTAGGTTAACACAATGGTCAGGATGACGTCACCGCAAATTGGGAGACCTGTCAAAATATTGACAAAGGGTCTATCAAAAGCCGTCATCATGCGGCTGTAACAGCCGCAAACAAAGCCAGCGGGCGAGCCTCTGAAAACCGATGACTTCAAGCTTTTATACTTGGCAAAATTCAAAAGCATGCCGTTACTCAGATTTTGTGGCGCTGCTACTGACGCTAGATTCCTTATAGATTTTACTAAGCCCGCACGCTTTGGGCTATACTGCTTGAAGAGCACGTTACAGGGCCTGTGTATGACGCGCTGCAGACGGCGTTCTCCCCGCGGGTGTGACGCCAATGCACCACACGGCTGAGCTGCAGGTCTGACTGTGCATGATGCACCGGTCGGCCCGCAGGACGACCGTCGCCCTTAGCGCCGGTGTTCCGCGCACGCGGGCTCGCTACATACACCGGCATGCACCTGGAAGTTAATGGCTTCCAGGACCGTCTCCGGCGCGTTGAGCTCCAGCAGCAGCATGATGAAGATGCGGTGGTAGGGCAGCTGCTGGAACTCGGTCTTGCGCACCTCGTGGTCCTGCAGCAGCACTCCTGTCACGATGCCGAGCACCTGGCGACGGCGGCAGCGTCCGGGTGAGGCGAGCGGACGCAGCGGCTCGGGCCAGCGGCTGCGGCGGCGCATCACAGGCCGACCCCAGGCAGGTGGACACGGGCCCGCGCCGGCCGGTACAGCGGCGCCCCGCCGGCGGCGCACCGGGACACACCGAGGCACGGGCGCGGGGTGTACGACTACCGCCGCCGCGGCGCTTCGCCGACGCAACGTGCTCGCACGCCGACGCCCGCACAGTCGCTGTGAGCTGAGGCGCCAGCGGTCGAACGGCCGCCTCAACGGGGGGCAACATTGGTGCGTATTTGACGATCGGCTCACACGCAGTGAAGCAGCGCAAAACGGCGCACGCAGTGCAAACAATGTAAACAAAGGCGTCATACTGTGCCGCCCGGCCCAAACATTGTCAACGCAGCCGAGCGAGAAGTCTCGCCCACCTATCCAGTGCATGTGTGCCATAAGGAGTAACACTGGAGTTGAGGGCTGAACAGGCCAGCAGTCCAATGGGACTCACTAGGGTTATGGTCCGCTAATGGCAACCGTCACATCATCCCAGATCCCGGAGTAACCTGATTATGGTCCGCTAATGGCAACCGCCACATTATCCCCGATCCCAGAGTACCGTGGTTATGGCCCGCTTATGGTAACCGTCACATCATTCCCGATCGGCCGATTTCAACTATAGCAGAAGTGTCATTACCGTTCAGGTACACAGAGGACAAATACGCCGTTTCGTATTACCTTTACAAATTGCATGGGTAGAATGAAGACTTCCCATTAGTAGCAGTGCGTCTTGCTTTACGACACAGCCGACTCACATCCGTCATAGAAGGGTTCACCGGCCCAATACATCTGGTCTACAACCCCGGCCCGCCGCAGGCAGCGGCCCGACACCGGCCACCGCCCGCCCTCTCCGCCCTCTCTCCGACACCGCCCACCTCTACAGCAGCATCCCTCTACCGCCTCTCCCTCACCTTGTTAAGCAGGTTGATCTTGGAGACGGCGTGCGGCGACTCGCCGCTGTGCTTGACCAGCAGCGCGATCAGGCGCACGAAGGCGTCCAGCGTGCGGAAACACTTGGCGCGCACCATAGCCGGCGTCATGGCGGCCGGGTCGGTGAGCGCCCGGTAGCACAGGTCCACGCACATCTGCGTCGACAGCCGGAAGAAGCGCGTGATCAGGTCGTCCGTCTTCAGGATGCCCTGCACGTTCATCTGAAACACGGACAGCGGCGGCGCCGTCAGACGGGGGTCGACGGAGAGGCGAGAGCGGGGCGACGGGGTGAGAGCGGGGCGGCGGGGTGAGTGTGGGGTTGGTGAGTGGAGCCACATCATCGTCTGCTGGCTCAGTTCGCCTACAACCCCTGGCGGATGGCTCGGAGAAACGTATACAGACTTATCTGTTCAGCGACACAAAGCATCCGAGGCCAGATGCAACGTGATGTGCGCAATGTGCAATGTGCAATGTGCAATGTGTAATGTAGTACGCTTCCCATCGATTATGTGCATACTCCAAGCACACTTCCACGTCTCTGGTTGCAAAAAAAACCGCATCTACTTCGGTTGAAAGCCAAGGCAACGTCTGACTCTGCTAACACCACCGGACGCTAACACCACCGGACTAACCGTCACCCGTTCCCGAAAAGGGAACAACACGGCGTGCGATGTCACGTTGTTCCGGCGTCAGGACGTGTCGATGTAATCATCCGCCGGGAATGTTAGTGACAACTTGAACTAAATAGAAAGCATTTACCAGTACACCATTGGATTCAGTACTTATCATGTCCGTAAGTATCTTGGCGGAGCCGCGTGCTGCCCATCTGGCGCACAACATTGGTGAAGAAGATCGTCGAGTCTCGCGATACCCAACGTGTGCACAAGGCTGGTGCAGGACAGGACGTGGTCAAGTGGAGTGACACCCACCTGATGCACAATGTTGGTGAAGGCCTTGGTGGAATCTCGGCCAGAGGTAGGCGCGTGGTACAGCTGCACCCACTCCCTCAGCAGGTACTCGGTCTTCTCCTGCATGCCGGGCGGGTCGTCGAACTCGCGCGCCTGCGAGATGCCCTTGTGGATGTGGGCGGTGGGGCCGCCCGGACTGCGGTCGGGCGTGAACGGCACCTCGTGGCCCACGCCGCCGCTGCCGCCTCCGCCTCGGACCATTTCCAGCAGGTGCGGGATGTTCTCCGGACAGCTGGCGACGGCAGGGGGCGCCATCAGCGGACGGCTGGGGCGGCGGAGAGAGAGCTGGGAGAGTGGTCAGCGGACGGCTGGGGCGGCGGAGAGAGAGCTGGGAGAGTGGTCAGCGGACGGCTCGGGGCGGAGGAGAAAAATAGGAGATCAGCAGACGGCTGGGGCGGCGGAGAGAGAGCTGGGAGAGTGGTCAACGGACGGCTCGGAGCGGAGGGGAGAGGACTGACGGGGGTGGGGGGGGGGGATCAGTGACCATCTCGAGCGGCCGAGGGCAGGGTCACAGTGTCATGCGCAGGAACCCCGCGACCGCCCGACGGTGAGAAAAAGAGTAATGGCGAAAGGCGACAGCCTACGACACCAGACTGCCGCCAACAGCCTACCATAACAGACTGCTGCCAACGGCCTACAACACACTGCCACCGTTACATTCATAGGCGAGAGTCGCCTGCTTAAAAACTGTTACGGCAACACTGCCGACGGTTCCACGCACGTCAAAGTTAACCGCAATTGCCGGACGATCCGCAAATCAACCGCAAAATTAAGGGTACTGCTAATTTATATATATATATATATATATATATATATATATATATATATATATATATATATATATATATATATATTAGGATTTGCAGTTAAGTTCGCCGCCATGCCAAAGGAAGCCGACCAGACAATCTCTGGCTGTGGTGTGAGTGGGAATACTGGCGTGTGTGACATCAGGTTGAGCTCGAGTCCCACGGCTTCCACCCACCCGGGCTGTTGCGCGATCTTGCTCAGGGCCTCGATGGTGTTGACTAGGTCATTCTCGGTGACAATCGACACCCGATCGTCGATGAAGAACGCCTGCAGAGAGCAGCAGTCGTAAGAGCGACGCCACAGATGTCTAGCACAGCCCAGTGTTGGCTCTTTGTATTAATTGCCACTAGAAAACGGCCTGCATACAGCTATACGAAGTACGTGTGAGATCGCTGAAACTTCAGGACCAAACCAACGCTTTCGTCATTTGCCCGCTCAACTTCGACCAGCCTCAGGCATTGCTACGGCTACATTCTTATCGAAAGCAGACAGAACAAGCACCTCACACCACCACTTGTGCAGTTATCCGTGAGTTATCGACATCAGCTCCGCCCTACCGGATGGGGACAGAAAGTCATGTCGCTTCAAATGCATGATTTGGCTTTGCGGCGGCCAATCTGCCCGCCCCCTATCCCCCCCCCCCCTCCCCCTGCGGAGCAGCGGGTCGCCGCGCGCCAGCCGGTCGGCAGCCGGCAAACCGGAGGCGTTCCGAGACACCCACCTGCAGCAGCTGCATCACTAGGAAGACGGCGTTGTAGTTGCCCGTCTCCATGGCGTGCGCCAGCTGGGCGTCCAGCTGCGGCAGCGACACCAGACCGGAGCGGACCAGCACCTCGAGCGCGTCGCCGTTCAGACGCACGTCCACGCGGCACTCGGAGACGAAACTGCCGCCGGCCGGCGCGGATCAGACGCCGGGCGAAACACACCGAGGCGATCTAACACCCAGCTCCCTGGAGGACCCCCGGTCTGTCCCGGGCAGCCTTGGTCCACTCGACGGCAGCTCCAATTCGTTCGGGACAGGGGTGCAGAACACACTGAGGAGATCTAACACCCAGCTCCCTGGAGGACCCCCGGTCTGTTCAGGGCAGCATTGGTCCGCTCGACGGCCGCTTCAGTTTACTCGGCGCAACTCAAGTCCGTCCACTGCATTCCTGTAAAGCTTACCGCCGCCACACACCGCAGTCCAGTTCCCAGTGTGTCCCCTGCAGCGGCAGTGTGTGCGTGTGTGCGTATGTCCTGACGCCCAGCTGTGAGCTGAGCGTGGCTCTGGTCGGATCACGGCCGCGGCGGACTCACCTGGTGACGTGTTTCTGGACCCACTGAATGCCGTAGACGCGCGGGTTCTGCAGCGCCCGCAGCACGAGCAGGTGACTGTCACGGTACCGCAGGCCCATCTCCGAGTCCGCCGGCAGCTGAGGCGTGTGCTCCAGCAGGCCCTCCACGGCCTGACCGACACAGAACGGCACCAGTCACGCAACGCGCCCATGCATGCCATACGCGCTGACACACGGACCAGCGATAGCACTGCAGACAGCATTGCCGCCCGTGGTTTACGGTGGCTCTTCTGCCATTCACCCGAACACAAACATGACGTGTCAGTGAGCGTGCATCACTCTCAGTCCTGGAACGGGCCGCGTACCTTCTCTCGCAGCTCAGCAGAATTCACAGGATCCACACGCGAATGCAGCTCCAGGCCATAATGTCTCCAGCTGGACATGTCACCGGTGCCGTCCACCCAGCCCGGCTGCCGACCGTCCCTCATGACTGACCCCCAGCCCACGTACCAGCTTGATGAGGTGCACGTGCGTGTTGACATCCCGCGACGTCCTGGCCAGCGTCACGTCCTCAGCCAGCCGGCCCAGCGTCTGCGCGTACGCGCTGCCCGTCGCCGCCGGGTGCAGCGCCTGCACGACGGCCTGCAGCTCCAGTGCCACCTTGTCCATGATGGCGCCCAGCTCGTCGCCCGGTTGTGGCGGCCCGGGCGGCAGAGGCGGCAGCGGCGGCGGCGGCTGCGTGGGGCGCAGTGGCAGCGGCGGCGGCGGCTGTGGGGCGGCACGGCGCGGTCAGCGGTCAGCCTTGGCGGCGGCATCCCACACGGACGGCGGTGGAAGGCGTGCAGGGTGGCAGCACGGCATCCGAGGACAGGAAGAACGACCGAACAGTTAATGTACATATAAGATGCAACAAGAAGAGAGAAACGGTCAATATATATATATATATATATATATATATATATATATATATATATATATATATATATGTATCTTCCTATATGTATATATAGGAAGATATATATATATAGCCTGGGCTATATATATATAGCCCAGTTGCTTGACCTTCATCTAGCATATCGACGACCACATGACGCAGACCGCCTCCGGACCCGCGGCCAATGTGGCGACACCTGAGCCCCGACGCGGCCCGCCCCGTCGGCGGCGGCCCATCAGCGCCGTCACGTGGCCCCGCCGGACGCTCAGCTCACCTGAGCCGAGCGGGCCGGCAGGCCGGCGAGCTGCGGCGGCGGCGGCTCGCCGCTCAGCGCGAAGCCGGGCACCACTCGTGTGAACTCCTCGTACACGGCCATCTGCTGGGGGCTCATCATCTTGAGTCGGATGGGCTCTGGCATGCGCGACTCCTGGTAGCCGGCGGCGACCGGCTCCCGGAAGCGGCGGCCCTCGGCGCGCGCCAGCTTGCGCAGCTCGTACTCCTGCCCCAGACGAGAGTGCCGTCACATATCGACGCCGAATCACCACGCGACCCACATCACGTATTGGCCATTCTAAACAGGTTACTGGGGGCCGCATTTGGTTAGCAGGGAGGGGAGGGGGCGCTGCTTGGGTTTATATCGCCTCGCGCAACGATATTCCGCGGGCGCTATCGGCCTCTCGCGGCAAACCGGTTGCCCAAAACAACCCACATTCTACCTCCATACGAACAAATGTGCCACAATGACAACAGCCATGACAGTGTAACACCTAACCGCCATGTAGCTGAAAACCGGGCAGCTTTTCCAGGGTGGTCCGTTCGCTGCGAGCCACACGTGCCACCCAGTGACTCGGGCCCAACCCACCCCAGCCAGTCGCTTGTCGATCTCGAGGATGGCCTTTTCGACAGCCGTCTTCTGGATGAAGCAGCAGGCCAGCTCCACGTTATCGGCCGCCACCATGTTGGCCGTCTGCTCCATGAACTCCTTCTGCTGCGGCGTGGCAGCCTGCCGCACAACACGGCCATGTCCCAGTTAGGCCCGTCGGAGGCAAGCCCCACCAGCATCGGAAGCGATGAGGACGGAACGGCCCTGCACCTGCCGAGAACTGCTCAAACACGACTATCATGTGGACGTGTACCCTAGTTTAGTTGTAATAGGGCCATCTAGGGAAAGCGATGCTGGGGTAATTGAGATAGCAAACGCAGTGAAGACAACGTAGAATCGTGTTAACGCCGGCTCTTTCGACACTGGCGGACACCAACGAGAGAGGCTGATGAAGCAGCGCGGTGCTCCTCTCAGTCGCCGACTGTGCCGCTTACTCGGACTGTTGAGAGCAGGGACGACTTGATGTTGTTGCTTATGGAGACTGTGAGGTGGTCGCGGCAGTTGATGAGCGTCAGCCCGGCCGTCAGATTCATCACCATCTGCTGGGCGGCCGTGCGCATCTTCATCTCGTCCGGATCCAGCGCGAAGTCCTTCTTCACCACCTGCTCCACCGTGTTGACCGCCAGCTGAGGGGACAAGGCACACGGAGGCGGAGTCAGACCTATGGTACAGCACTCGGGTTCGCAGCATCCGAACAGACTCGAATAGATTCGTGCCTCGTGGATCTTCGAACATCAAAAGCAAGGATTCCAGCACGGAAGATCGGTGCTTCAAACAGACGAGGAAGGCGTTGAGCACGTCGGTGCTGCGTCGGACGTCTGACTCGCCCTCCCTGCATGCATAAGTGCATGCATTAGCTGTTGCCGGATCTGGCTGTTGTGGTTATCGGTCTTACTCCGTGGTCACGCTTCGCTGGTGTGTTGTGGGAGCGAAAGTAGTCTTTGTCACTTTGACACACACACGAAAGTCTTTGTAGTCACTTTGTCGTTTACAGCTAGTAATCACAGGGGAGGGCGTCAACGGTACTTAGCAAAGGGGAAGGGGCCAACAGAAATATAGATCTCAGTCCTCTATCAGCCGAGGGCCCCTTCATCTCAGGCAACCTTCTCGAGCCAAACGGCCTGTCGCACCTTAAGGTATATAAACACTGGATTACTGAGCCCAATTCTTAACTTAAGGCTATCGACCACCATTGTATGAGAGTACGGCACCACCACGGGGTGGCTACCTAAACATTAGAGCGAAAAAATCATGTTATACCTGTGCAAATCTTAGTAAGGGAGCCTTGTTGTCACATGTTCGGTAAACAAGATCAAACAAATCGAAGCATTCCTCCTAGTAATTGTCATTTTGTTTTGCCGTTTCCGGAACAAATCGTATTTATGTCGTCTTTTTTTAAGCAGACCGGCGTAGCTACCCCGTTAGAAAAGCGCAGGCACGCCGTTACAACAGTGCACGCAAGCCGTTACAACGGCGCAGGCGTAGCGTACCTTATACAGTGTCCCTCACACTGAATAACAAACGAAGCTTTGACGCCTACACAGACGTGCACCACCGCTACGCACCTAGTGAATCTATTCGAATCTCGAATCCGAATCCGATTCTATCCGCCAAAGTATTTTAATCCCACATTGCAGTGAATGCATACACTACACCCGCCAGAGGATGTGACAGTGGACGGCCGGGGGCGCACGGCTGAAGATCACGGCGGACAGCGGCGGGTCAGAGCCGACAGTGGGGGCAACAGAGGGGGGGGGGGGGGGGGGGGTAGCGAATCAGGCTGGACGGACGGGGCTCATCACGAGGGAGTGGACGTGGATCAGAGCAGGGAAGCTGAACATCAGCCCGACGTCTGGGATCAAAGGGACGGGAGCGGGCGGAGCGCACGGCTGGAAAAGGACAGCGCGCTCGTCCACTGCCATCACCAGACAGCGCGCGCCTGTCTGCTGTCATCACCGGACAGCGCGCACCTGTCTGCTGCCATCACCGGACAGCGGGCGTCTGTCCGCTGCCATCACCGAACAGCGCCAAGGACGTCACCCCAGAACATTCCATGGTGCAGCTGTTGGCCCACAAATACATGACGGGAAATGCACCCGACCAGCGCGTGGGGTACGGAGTAATCGGGCGCTAGTGACTCGCCACGCTTCACCGGTCCAGGTCACACAGCTGACCTTGCAGTTGCGCTCGACGGCTCGCGGCAGCCAGTCCTGGACGGTACGCTCCACGGCCGGCAGCACGATCTGCTTCAGCTGCGGGTTCGACTGGAACAGCGGCAGCTGCCGGAGGAAAGCCGATGTCAACACCCGTCACTCAGCGCCGAGATCCAATGACCGCCCCGTGCTGTAGCCGCAGGCCAGACGCAACACACGACAGCTGGGCCCCGACACCAGTCCATCGAACGAACTTACGACTGAGGTTCCCGCCGGCACGTAGCGACGAGCATGGCGGACAGGACCGACCAGTAAACAGCAGTCTGATGGGCGCACTGGGGCTGTGGCACTCGTGCCCGCGACATGACCGTCACGACCGACAGATTAAGCGTCTGACAGCCGACAGCTCATCCCCTGCCCTCCAAACGTGGCGCTCGCTGGCGGCTCCGGCCCCGTGACAGGTGGACTTCAGGGCACGCACCGCCACACTGATGGTGATGTGCGGCGCCAGGCCGCCGATGCTGGACGTGTTGAGGTCGCCGAAGCCGAAGCGCGGCTCGACGGCGGTCGGCGGCAGCTCCGAGCAGCCGCCGCCACCGCCGTCTGCCGCGGGGCCGGCCGACGACGGCGGCGGCGCGGCGCTGGACGGCCCCTCGGCCGAGCTGGCCGCCGTCGCCGGCGGCGCGCCGGACAGCGGCGGCAGCAGCGCCGGCGGCGGCGCAGGAGGCGGAGGCGGCGGAGCAGCGACGGTCGGCCCCGGCCGCTTCAGCTGCAGTGGCAGCCGCTGCAGCCGCAGCGGATCGCGCAACCAGTTGCTGGGCTTCAGCTCCTGAAATGGCCACCCGCGTCACACGGCCGGCTCGGGCGTACACACAGCGGGCGTACAATACTGTCACGGAGGCATCGACGTGCCGTTTATGCCCTACGCGCGACAGGCAAGCCGCAATGACGGCCACAGCCACAACTATCAGGGGTAACGGGCTGTCACCTGACCCATCACTCGACGTCAGCCGCATAAGACAGCTCGCGCATAACTGCATCACATTAGCGCCTCAGAGTAAGCAGCCGAACTGATGGGTTTAACCAGGTCAATGGCGTAAAAACAAACACAAATCAGGCCCTTCCCTTTCCATTCTTTGGAGCTATGCGCGCTACGGTAGCGAGGAGAGCAGTACGATGTCGTCCTGAGCTCACTGAATCATACGCCCTCGTGTACACAGACCCCGCATGTTATCTCAGGAGTCACCCGTGGTGTGACAACGGAACAATCAGTGCTGGATAACGCTCGCCACAGCGCATCCGGTTAATGTAGCGTTAGATACATCCAACTAGGTCATGGTAGATTCGATGCGACTCCAATGCAGACGCCTTCATTCGATTCCAAAGATTCAATCCACCTAGCATGGCCATGGATGGCCACGGAAATGTGACCGACATGACCTCGACAACGGTCATCACTCGTGTGTCGAAAGGTAGACTGTCTTCAAATTTTGATGAATGTAAAAACGGATGATACTCAGCTTCTGACCACCCAAGCACCGCACACGTAGCTTTCAGAGAAAGCTCTCCAAGGGATTCGAGGGCTCTGTCCGCGACGGTTGCCGACCAACGAGGCCAGTGTTGGTGAGCGGGTGCTTTCGCTTGCAACTCACCGATGCCAAGGCGACAATGGTCACGATCACTGAATGTTTGAAAAGAGAAACACGTACGCAGAGCGCAGTGACCGGCGAGTAAGCTGTCACCTCATCCTACACCCCCCCCCCCCCCCCCCCCCCCTGTGGCATGAGCCCCACATATCGGCAGGGCTTACGTTCACGTCGAGAGAGAGTGTCTTGCAGAGGACCTCCACCTCGAACTTGAGGTTGAGTTTCAGGTCACGCTCTTGATGTAGTTCGGCCAGCAGGTTCATAAGACCCATCGTCCACGGGTTGGGCGGCTTAAATATCTGAAAAGGCACCGATGATTCCTGAGCGGCGCTCACGAACCAGCAGGCGCACGAGCCGGCGGCGGGTTAAAGATACGGTGTCAGCCATACCGAACGCAAACAGGATAGGAATCCACAAAGCCTTGCAGCTGGGCCTGCAGAAAAACCATCATATCGCATCTAACCCGTTCTTCCGATCTCTCTAGACCAACCATCCCCGTGAAGTGAGGAGCAGCAAGCACACAACCTGGGTCATTGCTGACGGCAGACGCCTCCCACCGGAGCTCCCCCCAAGCCCCCCCCCCCCCTCCCCCCCCACACACCAAAGCCTGCAAGTGCGCAGTCTGGGCGCGCCGCGCCGAAGAGCACGGAGCTCAGGCGACACCACGCACCTTCGATTTGGCGCACGATTCGAGAACCTTGGCGACGAAAGGCACGATGTACAGAAGCTCGTGCATTCCCAGGTGGTAGGCCTCCACGACCAGGGCCTTCAGGTCCAGGTCGACCTGAAACACGACGGGGCACGGTGCAGGTCACGCCGGGACCACGGCCCGCGACGAGAAGACGAGACTCAAAACGCACCCACGACGCGATCTTGATGGGGGACGGCAATGTCGTCGCTAAAGGAAAGGAACAATGATCCAGGGGCACATACCAGCCAATGGAGGAGCTCAATCATGCCCGCTCTGCACATAGTATTGACTGACGGACCACCGCTCTTACCTGAAGAATGGGCTTGTTCTTGGCGATGGTCATGAGTCCTAGCCAGTGGCCCAGGTTCTTGAGTATTGTACGATCGTTGAACTTCTCCACGCCCTTGTCTGCCCGCAGCAGTACCTGGCGGCAGGCGGAGTCACGGTCGAGTTAGTCCTCTCGCCCGAGGCCACACACGCGCCAACCCGGCACCGAGAACGCCACTCGGACACACGCCGAGCAGCTGACGGACACGCCGGCCGCACTCCCAAGACCGAGCAGTCTCGGAGTTCTAACGCTGGTCTGTGTGATGCTACTGCGGGGCATTGTAGCATAATGATCAGCAAGCGCAACTAAGTGAAACGGTTCACGGCGACCTCCTAGCCGAAAATAGCAGTCTCCCAAACCAGCTCACCATAGCGACAACAGTTCCGTCTCACGCAGCGCCGCCCATGCCAGAGGCCGCCTGCCCCCGCGTCGGAGGCCACCCTGTACCTGCTGGACGCCGGCGGACACCACCGCCCGGCTGCACTGACCTGGATGTTCCTGTGCAGCTCGCGCACTACCGTCTGCACCAGCTCGGGAAGCCTCATGGCGTCCAGGAAGTTCGCGTACAGCGTGTGGAAGTTGGGCTCGATGCTCACACGTCGCATGACGACGTACTGAGAGAACCACGACCAGTACTCCTTGTCCATCAGCTCCAGCAGCTCTTCACACTGAGAAAGGACGCCGCTTCGTGAGGGACGGCCGGCGGTCACTGAGAGCATGCTCTTCACACTGAGAAAGGACGCCGCTTCGTGAGGGACGGCTGGCGGTCACTGACAGCGCGAGGGCAATGACTTAGCACCATCTAACCACCTGTTGCAACTAACGAAATGTTGCCGTTGGGGCCATCGTCACAAGTTATATACATGATTCGGTGGTATCCACCGCACACAAATTAAGCCCCAACCCTTCCAGACCATCGCCGAGACACCCTCAGTGACAAATGACGTCTATAAAAATGGTACAGTGCGAGGCCTCCGCACGTCGGGCGGTGACCCCCTTGGCAGGTCTGGGCGGCCCCACCCCCAGCCAATGTCTGGCCGGCCAAACCCTCGGCTAACGGGGTGCGTACCACTCACCTTCTGGCTGAGGTTGAGCTGGCTGAGGTTGTTGAAAATGAAGCCGACCTTGTCCTGGACGGCCTCGCTGGGCGCCGTCTCCTCCGGCAGCGCGTTCACCAGCGTCTCGATGTTGGTCGTGTTGGCGATGGACGGCCGGCCCGACACCAGCGCCGTGGTGACCAGGGTGGCGCGCGGCGCCGGCGCCGGCGCCGCCGTCACCGCCGCCGACGGCGCCGACGAGGCCGGCGGCGCGCCACCGTCGGCCACCAGCGCCTGCAGGTGAGGCGGCAGCACGGGGCCGTCCGGCCGGCTCAGCGGCTCCTGGGAGCGCATCCCGCACTCCACGTACTGCGGCAAACGCCGAGGGGCCGGTCAGGAGTGGCTGGAGGCGACCGAGCACTGCGCGCCGCCGCCGAGCGACGCCAGAAGTCAGGGTACACGCCGGGAGCGTAACCTACACGTCAACAAACAACCAAACGCAGCACTCCAGCCTGGCGATCCCGGACTGGGGTAATGATACAGTCTTCTAGTACTTGGTATGTGGAACACTAATGCGCGCCTGGAATAGCATCCAGCGCTCAAAGTGGCGCGTCAAGCGACGTCAGAGGACACCAGCAGGCGCCCAATACGCCATGTCTGGGGCAAAGAGCGTTACTGCGCCTGACGGCGGGAATTAACCGACTCTGCAAAACACCTAGCACAAGCACATCAGGCGCTTGCTTAAACGCTTACTGACTGAATGCCGTTGCAGCCCACTGTAGACATCGTAGCCGCCACCAAAACAGACAATCAATGAGAGCACTACGTGACACGTCCCACTGCGCCCAGTCGGTGTCCAGTACTCGCCCGCGCTCTGGACCGAGGCCTCACCGCGGCGGCGAGAAAAAAACGAGAACAAACGTTGCCCTCCGCCCTCCCCCCCCCCCCCCCCTAGGCGACGCCCGCTAGCGCCGCATCACTCACGTCCACCAAGTGTCGCGGGAACTGGCTGAAGTGCTCGACGGTGGCCAGGTGCTGGCAGTACTGCGGGTACTCTCTCAGCCGGTGCTTGAAGCGGTCCAGCGCTACGATGCCAAAGTTGTACATCTTGGAGCCGGGCGGCTTCTTCACGGCATCCAGCACGTAGCGCAGCGCCAGGCCCAGACCTATGTAGCTGTGGCGGTGTGACAAGCGTCAGCTGTTGCCCGCCTCGTTTGGGGAGCGCGTCGCGCGACTATGTTCTCCATCATTGCAATCTCTGTGGCAGGCTGTTTGGAATTCCAGTAACAGTAGTGCGCTGGCTAAATTCAAGACCTCCAGAGGCCAAAAGGTGAAACAACCTTTGACGGGAGACCAACTGTCGCACCCAGCGGCACAGCAATTGAATAGACGGCAGACATTCTTACACGAGAAAATCTAAATACTCGCCACCCATGCAGACCTCGCAAGTTCCGTCCATCCACCACTGACTCTGTCATAGAGCATCTCACATCTTCGAAGTCAGCCCTAACGCTACGATGGGTGTGGAGCCGACTTTCCCCGCTGCGCACTTACTCCGTGACTAGGTTGTGTTCAATGATGCCGCCGAACAGCTGTGCCGTGATATACAGCTCCTTGTCGGGATATTGCGGGAAGAACTTGTACTCGTCCATCAGGCTGCGCAGCATGCAGGCAAAAACCTCCTGCGAACGCGACCGCACGTCACCACGTGACACCGTGGGACACGTGGCACCGCACCACACGTGTCGGGGTAGCGCACACTAACCGGCACCATTCTGATACCGACTGGCACTCGGTAGGCACATGTGGGCCAGACCCGCTGGCGAGGCGAGCGGTCCGCCGTCGCCACGCGCCGCACGGGCACAGACCTCAGCCATGACGGGGCACGTCCCCACACAATGCCGCCGACGCCGCCACCGACCCCCCCCCCCCCTCACCCCTTGCCCCCGCGCGCCCGGCCGTGTACTACCGGAAACACGTGGTGACGCAATGTAAGACGCTCGATACCAGAGATGCAAACCTGGTCCCCACATGGTCGACTATGTCGCGCGGCTGGGCTTAAACCTGTACGCCCCTGACCTGCTTATTCACATCTGAGGGTTGCTTGAAGAGCTCGTGAACAGGCGCCAAGTGCATTTGACTGCGCCCGCAGCCAAAAATCGGCCGCCCATTCACCCACCATCACGTGAATATTTGCACCTCTGATCGGCTCCATCATAATGCCGTCCATGAAACATAGATGGCGGTAGTGCGGCCGCACGCTAGACTGTCAGTGGCCCGATGCCTCCCGCCCGATCGTCGGCATGGTCACGCAAGATCAATGTCGCACGAGGAGCGCAGGGGTACGCCACACCGCCGCCTCCAGTGTCAGTATGCAATACCATGGAAACAGGTAATACGACAAACATACCTGAGCAAACACACCCATCCACCCGCAAAACAACCCTCAGTTAACATTCAGCCCGGCATGCTTCTTTCGAGCTCCAATCTATACCAGCGCTAGTAAATAATGGAGGAAGGCGCATAAAAACACATCAGCCCAGCGGCAACTTGTTGTAAAAGGAACACGGCGCCAGGCGAACTGCCGACGTCACCCCAAAGGAGGCGCACACGATGAGGGCGGACAACACTGAGTTATACGCAAACGTCCCAAGGTTGAGGGCACCAACTTCACGCGTACACCCGAGGGCTCCTACACTCGTGTCGTAAAAGTGTGGCCGAAAAAGACATATTTAGTGGTTGTTACAACACAAGGTAATTTTGAACCTACCATCGTTAAGCCATTTGATTACGTGATGTACGTACGGAATCAACATCTACAGCGAATTCACTGGGAAGAAGCTTCGTGAAATTTGCCTTAACTAAAGCAATCGTTATTCAAAGGAAAGCGAAAAATAACTTTGGGGCACACGGCTCTGAGTCAATGAAAGGCCGAAACACATCCAACAACAGCTGCTCCCGCTTCTCCCCTCCCCCCCCCCCTCCCCTGCTGCCCACGGCGGGCCCGCGTCCCATACGCCCTGATTTGGCGTCAGTGCCGGGCAATCCGCTCACCACACGCGACCGATTGTGGCCGAGCCCCCACCGCCCTGCCGGCGACAGCTGGCCCATCAGCGGCAGACGCCGGCGCCGTGTTCACACAGGCGTACCGACAGGCGGCGTCAGGTCACCGGGCCACGGGGTCAGGTACCGGGCGGTGCCACACGCGCGGGTGGTGAGGCGCTGGTGACACTGGGCGCCGAAGGCCACCGGGTCACGGGGTCAGGTACCGGGCGGTGGGACACGCGCGGATGGTGGGGCGCTGGTGACACTGGGCGCCGAAGGCCACCGGGTCACGGGGTCAGGTGCCGGGCGGTGGGACACGCATGGATGGTGAGGCGCTGATGACACTGGGCGCCGGTCGCCTCAAGTTGTTCGCTTTTGAGCGTAGGTCTAATGAAATTGAATTGGATATGATTCTCGTCAAGGCCGTTTCAGCTAAAGAAGACCTTCTTTACTCAAATCGCAGTATATCACTTTCATCGAGTAGACATGATCACTAAATACGCAGATTTCAGCATTTCGACTCACGCATTTAAACAAATGCGAATCTCGATGATGTGTTCTGCATATTTACATCTTCCTTACGATATATGGCCCGGTACTCTGTTGAATGCCTCGGTGAAGCTGAGTACAAGCAAGGGACGATTACCAATAACCCAAATGGCGTATGTGACGCGTCTCCGTCTCATCCTGCACCGTTCCAAGCCACCAGGTACAACGGGTGCGGTCGATAACCGCGGGACCGCAATCTGCGGCGATGCCGAACAGAAGCAGCCTCCGCCTTCTCCCAGACGCCGTGATAGCACGGTTCGCACCCAGCCACCGCCCAGCCGGTACCAACCAAACGTCCAGACATCCGTCCGGCTCCGGTGCCCACGGCTAGCAGACAATGGACACTACCCAGTCCGTATACCACCAGTCCCCTCTCCTTTCGGGGCACACAGCTGGAACTCACGCGCTCCCGCGGGACGTTGCTGTCCTGGAACCGCTTCAGCATGTCGAGCACTTCCTCGATGGAGAGTGTCGGATGCGGCGGGTGGTTGTAGATGCGCTGAAAGTTGCTGTTGGCCTCCTCCTCCACCTCCTTGGAGAGCGCGGCCGCCTCCGACTGGAACGGCCCGACGTCGGCTGGAAGGGTCGCGGACGGGCGTCAGCACAACCAGCCCGGGCCAGGCACCGGCGCCGTGGTGGCGCGAACCTGCCGACGCTCCTGTCAAGGCCAGCCAACGCCTCTGTCAGAGCCTGCCGACGCCTCTGTCAGAGCCCGCCGATGCCTCTGTCAGAGCCAGCCGACGCCTCTGTCAGAGCCCGCCGACGCCTCTGTCAGAGCCAGCCGACGCCTCTGTCAGAGCCCGCCGACGCCTCTGTCAGAGCCTGCCGACGCCTCTGCCAGAGCCCGCCGATGTCTCTGTCAGAGCCTGCCGACGCCTCTGCCAGAGCCCGCCGATGTCTCTGTCAGAGCCCGCCGACGCCTCTGTCAGAGCCCGCCGACGCCTCTGTCAGAGCCCGCCGATGTCTCTGTCAGAGCCCGCCAACGCCTCTGTCAGAGCCCGCCGACGCCTCTGTCAGAGCCCGCCGACGCCTCTGTCAGAGCCCGCCGATGTCTCTGTCAGAGCCCGCCAACGCCTCTGTCAGAGCCCGCCGACGCCTCTGTCAGAGCCTGCCGACGCCTCTGCCAGAGCCCGCCGATGTCTCTGTCAGAGCCCGCCGACGCCTCTGTCAGAGCCCGCCGACGCCTCTGTCAGAGCCCGCCGACGCCTCTGTCAGAGCCCACCGACGAAGGTCAACACGGCCTATCGAGGTCAGGTCACGGTCGGCCGTGGGACACGGGCACCAACACGCAGCAGACCGAGCGCCGCTCGGTCCGAAGTGGACTCTGAGACACGGGTCGCGTGTTGGAAGCGGCAGAGTCCACCGCCAGCCGGGCACTGCCGAACGCCACGCAAAGGTCGGATAAGCAGTTCCCCCGCCACCGATAAGCGGCAGCGGCCGGCAGGGCGGCGCGGCTGGTCCTTCCCAGCCGGTGCTGTCTCACGCCTGGCCGGTCGCCGCCGCCGCACTCACACTGCGCGCTGCGGGCGAGCCCATGCAGGGCGGAGGTGGGCGGCCCGGCGCCACTGCCGCCGCCGCCGGTGGCAGCTGCGCCGAACAGTCCTGAGACGGCCGGTGGCGTCAGCGATGAGAGCAGCGAGGCCTGGGCGCCGCGGCCGCCGCCACCGGCAGCCGAGGAGCCGACGGAGCCTGCCGATAGGCGGGCCCAGGTCAGGTGACCGAGCATGAGCATGGCGTCAGGTCAGGTCAGGTGACACATGGGCACGGTGTCAGGTCAGGTCAGGTGACACATGGACACGGAGTCAGGTCAGGTCAGGTGACACATGGACATGGCGTCAGGTCAGGTCAGGTGACCGAGCATGGGTATGGCGTCAAGTCAGATCAGGTCAGGTGACACATGGCAATGGCGTCAGGTCTGGCCAGGTAACACATGGGGACGGCGTCAGGTCAGGTTAGATGGCCGAACATGGCCCCACTGCAGCTTGGCCCCTTTTTACCTCAGCTGGTCGGACAGAACGGCGAGGGAACGGGCCGCTAAGCACTATACCGTTTCATGGGTGTTAAGGAAACTAGCTTGGGAGCTCTACGATAAAACGTTCTGGGTTATTTGTAGACAGGCATAACTGACAAGGTTACTCGCGTATCCACGCCCTGATGGAAACAGACGATAGTTAAATTTATCGCGGGAGGGACGGAACGTAGACCTGTTGATGGGCACCGGCGCAAGAGTCGCAAATCAACTCATCCGCACACCGGCATGAGAATTCAACAACGGCGAAAATATACACGGCATGCAACCACTGTTGTTTCATATAGTGGAGCCTGAGCCGAAAATGACCATATCCTTACAGACGTGCAGCGGTACAGCTGAACTAGAATGCATGCTTTCTAACGTGAGGCGGACGGTGTGCACAGACGGGAGATGAACGTGCCCAGTGCCGTGTTGGGGCTGGTCCAGAGCAGCCGGTCTCACCGGGAAGCGTGAAGGGCGAGGTCCTCCGCAGGCCGCCGCTGGAGGTGGGGACGCCCGCGGCGCTGCCGGAGCCGCCGCCCAAGCCGAGGCCTGCCATACTGGTGCCCAGACCACCCACCAGCGATTCGCTGCCCAGCGCCGGGAACAGCTGCAACGGGCCACAGGGAACACTCGTTGGTTACAGCTGCGGATAACACCAGATGATCCTGATGACTTGACGATGAGAAGATAGACCGCTCGTGCCGATAGTTCAGTTGGTTAGCGCGCTCCGGCGACATCGCCCCCGGCTGTGTCTGACCCGACCGTGCCGGACCATCTGACGGACACGAACCCCGCGCCCACCCCCGGCCCGTCTCTCCCACTGACCTGGCTGGGGAGGCTGGCCTGGCCAAAGCCGGTGTCAAGCGGACGCGGCGGCCCAGCCGGCGCCGGCCGCGCCACGCCCGGCGGCGGCTGGCGCGGCCGGCTCAGCAGCGCCTGGCTCGCGTTGCCCACCATCGTCAGGATGGCCTCGTTCAGCTCCTGGCTGACGCCGGCGGCCGGCGCCCGCGCGTGCAGCACGCTCAGCATGGTGGCCACCATCTCGGGCGGCAGCGGCGCCTTCAGCGGCGGCTCCAGCGCCTTCAGCGGCGGCTCCAGCTCCTTCAGCGGCCCACCCAGGCTCTGAGAGACGCGCCGCTGTCGGGACAGAGGCCGCACGTGGGTCACATGTCCGGTCAAGGGGCACACACAGCACACAACCGAACCACACAGCGCTCTGCACCTAGCCGCTTACGCTCTGGGGCGGCTGCTGCCCATGCCAACCACGATGAAATGAACGAGCAGTCCAATACAACGTGCACAAGATGATGAAGTATCAGTTGCATTCCCAATGCCTCGCTGTGTACGTTGAAACCCATTGCAGTGCCTATGAGCCAGAGCACTTGGATGTATGCTACTCATCAGGCCTAGCAGAGAATTGGCACCGAGTGGCGGCTGACTAGGACCAACGCATCTACCAACACAGACTGCAACGGCTCGTATCAGATGGGCGCTACGTGGGCGAGCAGTTGAAGCGCTCGGGCGCCCTAGTGTACTACTACTCGACTGGCACCCCACGCTGCAGATTCTGCACGCCCAAGATGTACACTGCGCGCCCCTGCGGACCGGCTCCAGCCGACCTCAAAACCAGACTGGAACTTCCCATGTGTGAGGTTCAGAACTGGCTCAGTGTCAATTTTATCCAACTGAACGAAACAAGAACTGCTTTTATGTCCATCGGGCCGAGGCAAAATGTTAAAAAGTCGGCTGAATTCCACTTTGAAGTAGACGATCCGATTGTGCATGCTTCAGGTAGCATCAAAATTCTCGGCGTCATAGCTGACTGGTCTGTCACGGGGTGCCGTGTCTCGAGCGTCGTGAAATATGCAATGTCATCCTTGTTTTTCCGAACAAATTCCGTCATTACCTGACTTCAGATATTTTCAAAATCACCATTCAGGCATACGCGTTCCCTAATATCACGCACTATCCACGCGTATGAGCTGGGCGACCGAGAGTCAACTACACAAAATTCAAGAAGTTATTACCTGCATTGCAAGAGCAATTATCGGCTCCAAAAAGCATCATTGTATAACTCCTTGGATGGGCGAGGATCGAGACCATAGTGGCCGACCGCAGCGAGATCAAAGCGTTTAGGCCGCTGAAGGAGGTAGGCGTGTACCACGAGGTCCGCGCGCTTTTTGCGCCACGCGTCGCTGTTTCCACCCGTGAAACGCGCGCCTCGGGAAGACGAAGTCTGCTCCTGAGCAGATACCACTTGATCGCTACGCAGAGGGCATTTTCGCATCGAGTGGCAGATGCCTGGAACCGCCTGCCATTGTCTGTCTGTCATGCCAGAACACTGAGGACGTTTAAGATCGCCATGCGTGATGTAATTTTTTAGCACTGCTTACAGTGCATTGATATATCTGTTTCAGCTCTTTATCACTGCTCGTATAATGCATTGTACGACTGCCTGTGTCATTTTATTGTATACCTGGTGTGAGTGCCTATTTATGCTGTACCTATATGTAACTTGAAATGGCCTCGACCTGAAACCGTAATATCCACCATGTGGATAGTTTCCAATAAACTGACACTGTTCCATGTCCGGCATTCTGCACTGTCAGCGAGATGCGTGCCGCTGCGCCCCAGGCCTTGACTACCTGCAGGAACTTGACACAGGCGGTGATGAAGACCTCGCCGTGCTCGTGGATCTTGTCCGATAGCCACTTGTCCAGCTTCAGGTACTCGCGGCGCGAGGCCAGGCACGCCAGATCGATGACGAACGGCATGGCCTGGTAGTTCAGCAGCAACGACAGCGCCTACCGCAGACAGAGGTGGTGAGTCAGGATATCAGGGCACGCGGTCGCGCCCATGTGGCCCGGACGGCACCGGCTACTCCAGGTCACGAGGGGCGCTTTGTAAGTCTCCCTAACCGCCCGCAGCATCATTGGAGCACACAATCCCCACACCCCCACCCTACCACGCAAAGGTGGTGCCTCACACGGATACGCAACAACGGACACTGAAGCGATCCCACGAGGGTTGGCCTCTGCCCCCTACGGTTCAACGTGGCAGACGCTGGCACACGCCTGCGAGCCGCCTGGTCAGTGGCTTCGGCCCTGAAAATCTCCGCACTTGTTGGCACCAGTGGTCGCAGCTAGTAACCAAGCACGCCACAAGCACACCGACCACATTCAAGCGCGAGCCGTTCCTCCTCCGCGTCGTCCCCAACGCGGGCGCGTCCCGCACCAGACGGCAACATGATCGGCCGCCCCCAGTTCCGCACCTTGAGGTCCTGCGCCACGTCCAGGATGCGCGACAGTCGGCCCTGGTCGTTCTCGCCCTGACGGTACCACTCGGCCATGGTGTGCATCAGCATGGTGCGCACGGCGCTCGTGTTCTGCGGCGTGTGCCAGGCCTGGTGCAGCACGGCCGCGCTGTTCGGGTGGTGGCCGGCTGCCGGCGCGGCGTCAACGCGGCGTCATACGACACGGCCACGGCTGGCCACAGGGAGGACACGCCGGCGGCGGCAGCCTCGCGATGGCTTTGTCCGCAGACGGAGGAAACGGCTGGAGCAACAATCTGGCTGAACATTTGCCATTGCTGGTTCCATAGCAAACAAAAACTGGCACATGACAAAGCTAACGCAAGAGTCAGGGGAAAATGTTACGTTGCCGATCCCACAAACCGAGCCGCAGGCCATGTTACCGAACGTCACCACCGCGGCGCGCCACTCACTGAGGAAGACGAGGAAGAGGTTGGAGAGCAGCTCCTGGGCGAGGTCCGAGCTGCTGCCGGTCGCCAGCAGGTTGAGCGCCAGCACGTCCTGCCCGCTCTGCTTGGGGAACTTGAGGAGCTCCTGGACGGCGCAAGTGTGGCCGCTGTCAGCCAGGTGCAGCAGCAGCTGCATCAGCTCCGTGCACCGCCTGTCGGGCAGCCAGCGTCAGTCCCACGGCCGCCAGAGCACACCAGCCAGGCACCGGGTGACAGAGGCCGTGGGCGGGCACACTACATGGGCGTAATCAGGTCACACGTACTTTATGACACACTGCAGTACAGTTCTACTGTATAACATTACAAATCTATCGCCTGACAAGCACCCCGAAGGGGAACAAAACTACACCATTACGCCATTATAAAGGCACGTCTGGTGCCGAACCCCTCATCTGAGCACACTGGCTCATACAGCAGTCAAACCATACCCACCATGTGTTCAGCTCCTTGTTGTCCTTCTCCGGCGGCACCTTGAGCTGCGCCACGTCCACCATGTAGCACTGGTAGTCGGCCAAGCAGAACACGTCGGGATTCTTCAGGATCTGGTTGATGTACGACAGCTGGAACGGGAACAGCATTGAGGAACGGGCGCCACCGACGATATCAAATGATTTGTTAAAAAAAAACACACACATGAGGGCGTCCAACATCATTGCCGAAAAGGATACCTATTGTTTTATCGTATTGAAGGCATTATACTCATGGCATTACATATTGTTTTATCGTATTGAAGGCATTATACTGGAGGTGTCCTCGTGGAGTAGTCAAAACAGTGAGGGGAAAATCGGCTGTTGCAGTTTTGGTGCACCGGTGAGTTTACTGCCCAAATTTCCGAGCAGAACACCTGAGCTTTCACGCGTCCGCCCAATCTGCCCCGGTCCGCCAGCCCACAACCCGACCGACCCCTCCCGGCCAGATTCCGGGAATGGTTGGTCGGGGTATGGCCTACTCGCGCCCGTCCTCCACGCTCCCGCCTACGCGCAGTACCTGGCTGTCAGCGTTCTTCCAGACGCGGTACAGCACCCCGACGGGGAAGGCGTCGGCGCGAGCGCCCTGCAGCTGGAGGCCCAGCTGGAGCGCCTGCGTCAGCAGCCGCAGCGCCATCCGGTCCTTCACCTGGAAGCCCGGGTGGTCCAGGTGGTACACCACCTCCTTCCACTGGATCGACGGCGCCTGTCGCAAGGTCACGCGATCAGAATGAAGCCGGGGGGGGGGGGGGAGCGGGGGAGGGGGTGATGCAGCACGGCACGCATCCGTGGCGCCATGCAAAATCACCACACACACAAAAAAACATCGCGAGATGGGAGCTGGGGAAACCGAGGCAAGATGGTCCGACGATCCGACGCAGTCGTATTCCCCCGACAAAGGGGGCGCATCACCAACAAGCGGGTCAGGATGTGCCCTGGCACGGCACAGTCCAGCATGCCATTCGTCCAGGTGAGCTTTCACGAAATGTTCACGTAGTTACGACCAACTTTTCCAGAGGTGAAGTCAATCGGTGTGAGCTTAGTCCGAGCCCTGAACACAGTATAACTTGAGCAGCGCACGGGAGCAAAGTTGCTTTTTATTTAGATATAAAACCATGAGCTTAAATTCATGCTGTGGAGTCGGGTATTTGCATTTGGAACACATGGCTTTTCCGGCCCGAAAAGTCTAGTCCGAGTCAGTTGTGCAGCGCGTTGCCAAGCTTTGCGCCTGCATGAAAGCAAGAGTGGCCAGTGGGCCGCAGCTGCCAACGGACCGTTGTTGGAAGCGGTGATCGCCTGTAAGGGTTCACATTTGTCCGGCTTCTTTGTTTTGTAATCGTGTCAGGCTCGAATAAAAATCAGACAAAAGGAAGACGCACGACTGGGTGGCAGGGCGTGTGAGGTAGGACGCCGGAACGGTTTCTTTGCGTGTTGCTTGTTTAAAGTGCAGTTGGCGTATAGCGCGGAATGCTGGTGCTGTTGCTGGGTTGGTGAGATCGGTTGAGTTTACGCACTTCACGCCGATCCAACACAGCCGTCCATCCAAGTTTCGTCTAAGTTCGTTTGTCGAGGTGCCAAACAGCGTTCAGTAATTAATCTTGCTGTCCTATTTAAAATCCTTTCATTCCCACCTCACCATGGTCAGAAAGGGGTAGGATGTACGTCGCGCATGTTTGTGCGAGGATCTTTCTGCACATCCACTTCAAGGTTGGAAGAAGGGGGTGCATTGTTTGCTTTTACGTTAAATTAACATACATATGGCATTTCGGGTCCAAGGACAAAGTTAAACCTGTTTTTCAGCTGTGACGACACAGACAGACTGACCAGCAAACGCCAGATGGCGCAGCCATATTGCACTTTGTGAGCGTTCACTCTATGTGCGAGCCAACTCAAAGCATCAGCCAGCTAACGCCGCCTCCTCACCAGCTCGTGAACAGCCTTGACGAACACGTCCACGTTCCAGGTCTGCGGCCCGTCCTTGGGCTTGTCGGCCGCCCAGATGGAGGCGGCCGGCTGCAGGCTCTGGATGGGCACCTGGTCGGCCAGGCCCGTGTAGGTGCGCACCATGGCGCCCAGGCAGCGCGCCACCGCCGGCGCCGTCACTTCGGAGGCACCGTGGTTCACCAGGTGGCGGCGGCACTCTTCCACCGAGGCGCACAGGTTGTAGCCCACCTCCAGCACGAAGTCGGCCAGCGAGCCGTCCAGCTGTGCCGAGCGGTCCGTGGCGGTGAGGATTGACAAAAACACAGCAAAGCAAGGCAACACGAACAAAATGCAGCAAGAAGATAAGGCAACATACGCATGCGCCTGACACGTGTGGCCTGCGGCCGTGCTAAAGGCTAGATGACGTCACAGAGCAGGACGGACCGTGCATAACATTGTTAAACGTTGAACTTTCGCCACCAAATCTGCCGTTGACCTGGAATTGCGCGATCAGACGGCAGGGGTCAGGGCTCACACAAGCACTGCTTAGAGTGAGCTCTGATCCCACAAATCCATTCATTCAAAATGTTGGGATAAAAAATTTAAAGTTAAAAAACGCATGATCCAAATGGCGTTGGCATAGCTGCTGCCCAAGACCACAGGCACATAGCTGCAGCCATCCCCGCGCCGGGCCGTCGCGCACAGCCCGCCATCCCCGCGCTGGGCGGCCGCGCAGAGCCCGCCATCCCCGAACCAGGCCGCCGCGCAGAGCCCGCCATCCCCGCGCTGAGCCGCCGCGCAGAGCCCGCCATCCCCGAGCCGGTCCGCCGCGCAGAGCTCGCCACCCCCGCGCTGGGCGGCCGCGCAGAGCTCGCCGCACTGACCAGGTTTTTGGCCATGTTGGCTGGGCTCCGGATCTTGTCGACGGGGATGTCAGCGCTCTCCGAGTAGATGAGCGGCGCTAGAACGGCCGGCACCAGCTCGCGCGGGAAGTCTTTGCGCACCGCCTCGACGAACGCCTCCTGAGAGTCGGCCGCCTGGCGAGCACGTGGCGGCCGCACCATCAGCACGGAGACCTGTATCCCCGGCTGGGGGGGGAGACACGACACAGCACCGCGTGCTCCTGCTCGGCTTCCTGTCACATGCCATCGCGCCCGGCATGCCCGTGTGCCACTGCTCAGCTATACGGGGCTGGACGACAGGTGCGTGGAGAAACGATAACATTTGGCAGGTCATTTGCCGCCTTACTCATATAGAGGGGCTTCCGAATAGTTCTCCTTTATTCAAATTTTAACGGAAAGCTGTTTGGGGCACATGTACTACCATCCGCTCGCCAGTGGCCAGTGGCCAGCTACAGTGCCGAGTTGTGTGCGGGCCCGGCATGTCGGCGCACCTTGTCGAGCTGCTCGGGCGGCGCGTACAGCAGCCAGGAGACGAGCCGGTGCAGCAGCTCCGGCGACGACTCGTGCAGGCCGCCCTCCTCAGCGAAGCTCGAACAGTCGGCTGGCGAACGGCCGTCCGTCAGTCGGGAGATCAGACACACCCTGGCCGAACACGCCATCCGAACAGGGAGACACGTGGCGGCCCGACCGGACAACAGACAAACGGACGGAGTGTAGCAGACAGACAGACGTACAGACATGTGGCGGCCCGACTGGACGACAGACGGACGGACTGAGTGTAGCAGACAGACAGACATGTGGCGCACCGACTGGACGTCAGACAGACGGACGGACGGAATGTAAAAGACGGACAGACAGAATGTGGTGGATTGACTGGACGACAGACGGACTGAGTGCAGCAGACAGACAGACATGTGGAGGATTGACTGGACGACAGACGGACGGACGGATGGAATGTAGAAGACGGACAGACATGTAGGAGACAGACCGAACGACAGATAGACGGACAACATGTAGAAAACAGTTATGCGCGTAGTAGGCAGACCGGACGACAGCACACAGCGTTCAGCAATGGGACGTGCGGTCCAAGAGACCCGATGAAGCACACATGACACCGATCCAAGAGACGCGCTTCAGGGCACCAGATAGATCATGTACGTCGCGACCCGTGTCACGGAATTTATGAGCACTATATCAGGCTGTTCTTGTGCTAGCCGATGAAAGTGACGATCATTGTGTACTGGGAAATCAGCCGTTTTGTGATTGCTGTTGATATGCTTCGCGGCGCTGCTCCACCGTCCGACCTCGAGTGGCCGCCGGCCTCGGTCGCGTTTTGGGGCGGGCGACGCGCCGACTTCCGGCTTGCAGCGCAGCTCGTGGTGGTCGTGTAATTGCCTTGCTCTGGTTCTGAGTTAGTTTTGCCACTGTGGGGCAATGTGGTGATGGTGTTCTTATTATAATCCCATCACATATTGCCCTGGTTGCCTCAGTACATTTTGTCTTCCTTGTTTTAACTTTAACAGAGTAATTAGTATAAACGCAATCAGCGTTCAGTTCACGCGTCATAATTTAGGCTACGGCTCCTCCGGTCGCCAGGAAGTGCTGCCACCTGTCAGCTACTGCAAGGACAGACCGGGCCGAAAAATTGGTCAGGCTTTGCGCCTACGAAAGCTGAGGGTGTCTACTGTGCTGTTTAGTTTCAAGTCGTAGCAACAACTAGTTCATACGATAAAGTAAAGGCTGCAGTTAAAAAGGTGAAGCGTTAGGGATGTCACCAACATCTCTCCCCAGCGAGGGGCCTGTTCGTCCTCTCATCCCGGCGGGGCCGAGCTTCGTGCTCGTCAAAAACGTGAACGGAAGGCTTCCACACGACCAGCCCACTCGCTATCCGTCGGAAACTCGATCTCAACGCTGGCCAAGTGGACGCCACCAAACCGCTCCGCTCGGGAGCCATCCTGGTGAGGGTGTTTACCGAGCACCAGGCCAAGGCTCTGTTAAAATTAGGCAACTTCCTTAAGCAGGCGGTCGCAGTCACTCTCGCAGACCGCCTGAACGCCATCTAGGCGGTCGTGTACAGCCGGAGCTTACCGAGCTGTCGGGTGAGGAGCTGCTGGGGAAGCTGACCGAGCCGAAGTCGTGCAAGGTCACGCGCCTGCCCCCCCCCCCCCCCCCCCCCCCGCCGTACCAGCCTGGACCCCACCAGGCCCAGGATGGGCCCAGGACGGACCTTGCACTGACCTACAAAAGCAGGCCAAATCGGGCTGCTGCGCAGCACCGCAACTGCGATACCAGCATGAAAAACGGCCATTTACGCACCAAACTTCCCACTCGCCACCTACCCGAATCGATGTAGTTCTTGATGAGGTCAGGAAGTTTCTGCTGGATGAACTGCTCAGCTTGTTGGCTTGTTTCGATGTCCTTTGAGTGGAGAAGTGCGATCGCAAAGGCAACTTCTTCTGACTTCTTCAGCTTGAGCGTTTTTGACAGCCCCTGGAGGAACTGAGCAGGACGATTCTGCCAGAAAGAGCAATCAGTTGATGGGTTACTGCAACCTCATGAGCTAACTACGATTGTAATCACCAATGTATACAATACTTGGACAGCCAGCGCCGGATATATGGCAGACGTCAGTATGAACATGGTGGCTGGTGCCGCAGAAATGGACAAAAACATCAGCCAGGTACTTGGTCCTCCAAAAAGGAACGTGAATGATACCCCATTGCCAGGAGGTAGTATGTGAACTCAGTAAAATCCAAAGAATATCATGCCAGCCTACACCCATTCACGACAAAAAAAAACATGCATTCCGCACCAACATTCATAAAACACAAGCCGCCAGGCGAGCTTTCCACTGTCAGATGTCACATCCACCATCGTGCACGCAGGCCCCGCGCTCCGCCAGCTGGCCTCGAGTTCACCAGCGGCGAGGGCGCACCTTTTGCCTGAAGGCACGGTGGTCGACGGCGTAACAGAGTAGGTGGACGAAGTTGGGCCGGGTGGCGAGGCTGGCGCACTCCTGCTGCAGCAGCTGCAGCTGCGGGTTGTCCTTGGCAACGCTCCGGCTGCCGTCGCAGACGACGTGCGAGAACAGACAGCGCAGCAGATGGGTCTGGGCGTCCGCACCGTGAACGCTGACCAGCTGCGGCAGAAGACAGCGGCGCACCCGTCAGCAGGGCCCACCTCCGAACACCAGAGCGTGGCAGGGGTACGTGCGAGGACAGACAGCGCAGCACGTGGGTCTGGGTGCGCCCGTCAGCAGCGCCCACTTCCGAACACCAGAGTGTGGCAGGGTTGCACGCCATGATGGTGATTAAGGTGGGGACGGCATGCTTTCGTGCGTCACGGGGAACATCAAGGACCCCAGACAGTCATTGAGGAGGGTCAAGCTGAAGGGACGTATGAAAGAGAGATCCCTCAGGCTGCTCGGACGCACGTGCGCGGCCGAGCCGGGTGGACCAATGCATCGCCGCAATAACATTGCCGGAATCCCACAGGCGCTGTTACAGGCCGGTGACCAGTTCACCACTGCAATAATATCGCCGGATTCCACAGGCACCGTTCAAGAAACGTAATAATTAGATGCAAACGCACATAAATGTCAACAGGGGTATATTTTACGGCTACAACAACGAGTCAGCGCATGATTCAGTGCGAGAAACGAGTATTACATGTCGTGAATTTAACGCGTCAGGTGGGGGGCAATTTGACCCCCCCCTCGAAGGCATTTCCGGAATGGTTTCCGAACGCCACCGACAACCAAAAAACCGATCGTTTGGTATTAAAATTTGGATGAACCTTTATGGTCGCTGACCTACGGCAGATCAAAGTCAGGCCATGGATCCACCGAAGTCAGTTGCTAGGGAATCGTTCAATCTGGTGTAACAATGAAGTGTTAGACAAAACCATACATCTCTGAGATACTTTCCTGGGTTACACAACAACTGAATGAACAAATTCCATTGACCTACGATCAGGTATGAAAATCAGAGCACAGCCAAAACCAGCCTGCTATACTACTCTTTGGCTTGCTGTATGAGGGTAGTTTTGGGTGCTCATTTCAAATTTGTTGATAACAGGAACAACACTATACATCTTTCATGGATCTCTTAAAGGTCAGAGTAGGCAGTAGTCCTGTATGATGTTGATCACCATGAACTTCAAAAGGCCAAACAAGGTCAATGACCTTAAACAAGCATGTGACCTTTGCTAAGAACAGATATCTAGGTTCTGGGGACTTGTTGGAGACCAACCTGAAGTTTGACCTTCTTTGACCTTATTTGACCTGAAGGCCATATTTCTTAGCTCCTGAGATCTCAGGGGAGTCAAACTGCCCTCCCCCCAGCCCAACCCCACCCACCCCAGTAAAGGGTGTCAGACTGGTCACAGGGGTGCCTGTTAAGATAACATAGCAACTGGTGTGATAACACATGAGAGTGATCCTAGATGCAATTGGGCAATGCTGGTGTAACTGTCCTATACCTGAATGTGTATGAGTGTTTTAGCAAGGGCAACATTAGAATACCCTTAGATCACCACTTACAGGAGTGCATTGGCTTTTTTAGAAAGGGTAGGCCCAATTTGAAATGTATGGACCATGGTGACCTAGTATCAGATTGTATAAACCACCCTGCAGGTGAACATGGAGAACCTCTTCACCAGGCAATATGTGAGGAGGACTGGGACTCTGTCACTCTGCCAGGTTGGGAGGCTTCTGCACCAAACCCTCGCCCAACACTTGGTTACCACCTTCCCTTCCCCTGATTGGTCATGACATTTTTGACTGGGTGCAGTGGTCATTTTATCCAGTTTTGTACACCTTACTCTTTGCCTTTGCTTAACTATAGTTCTTGTTTGAATATATTTTCATTTGTTTTAACTGATTCTTCATCCATTTACTTTTGTTCTGTAAACATATTCTGAAATGTCTCTAACTTTCTTTTATCCCCTACCAAAAGTTGTTCAGGCATCCAACAGGTTGTAAATGGCCTCATAAATAGACAACTTATAGTTTTCTCAGTGCAGGCTGCAACACCCAAATTTTCCAACAGATCTGCTTTAGTCAAAAAAGCTAATATATTGCACATACTTGCCATGTCATGCCTATGACCTCAACATGATGGATATTACTAGAACTCAATAGCCTGCAAAGCTTAAGACAGTTAAGAATGCATTCACCTAAGTTGAACTTTGCAAGAGCTTAAACAACTCATTTTAGTAGTGTACCAATCAATGTGTGCTTACTAAAATCTACAAATATTGTCCATGATGGCCAGCTATATTGTATTGGGCTGGTTGTGCTATTATACCGGGTGCATTCATATAATGCTAAGTTAAAAAGGAGACAGACAAAATGGCAAGAAAAATCAATTTGGTTCTGGAAGAATACCTTCATGCATTTTAAAATCTTCAGAAGATCCATGATGTGACATGATTCATGCTAGAAATATCACATGCATTAGATGGGATCAGATATGCTCAGAAATGCAGCCTCAGTGTTCCAGCTGGGGCATAATATTTCAATTTCTCCTTGCAAAGGCAGAATTTGAAAGTCTAAACAAACAATAGAAAAGTGATGAGCAGGGCAAGAAAGAGCAGAGGCAGCAGGGCTGTAGTATCAGATCATCTAAGGATTGCAAAAATTGGGCATAAAGCCTGCTAAGTCTGATAGGTGCCTTTTGTTTTGTTTTGTTTTGATGATGTTTTGGACCCAGGGGCCACTACATGTGCTCTGAGAGAAAATCCCTGCACCAATTTAAACATGTAGCATACCCAAATCATACAAAACAACATCATTTTTAATGACAACTTATAAGGCTGCACACATTAGGGGTGCCCAGGATAACATGACCAGATACACTGCACTGAAATGAAGCACTGGAATGAGATACCAAATTATCAAGCTTTGGTTTCTCATCAGCTTGTGCATCTGTCCAATAACTTACCTGAGCAATTTCTTGAGTTGACACTTTATAATTCTTTTTTGCTAAATTCGCCACAAGATTACTGATGTGAATCAGTGCAAAAGAGGGCGAATCCAGGTTCATAGTCCCATTAATGCTTCAAAAAAGGAAACTTCAACTGAGGAAGCTTCCTTAAACTCTTCGGCGGAAAACAAAAGCAAAGACGGTAGAAATGCGTGCGGACGCACTAGAAGTCCATGGCAGTAGGCGATCCCAACGTAAACACGTCTCATAACGTCTAACTTCAGGTCATCACACAATTCTGAATAAAACTCAACCAATCATGATTTCCAGCCGCCGAACAGCTTTCCAATGATTTCTGACATATCAGGCAGGGTCTAAAAGACTGGCATATAAAGCAGATACCCTCGTCCTCCAAAACGGCTCGGTTGATCGTCTTGAAACCTTCACCAATCGACTTCGTGTAATGAGATTAATCATGGTGAGGTAATATCCAGACGTGGAATGAGGTCAAACCCCTCAAAAACGCAAAAAAATATTACATGCAAAGGAATACAGTTCAGATCTCAGAGCCTACTGCATCAATCGCTGCGAAACCTTCACAAATTGGATGCGCCATACTTGGTTTCCTCTTCCAGTTTAACATTCGGTGGACCTAGGTCAGGTTGAAATTCGTCAGATTTTACGAACTCCAAACTTATTGTTTGCAGACAAGTCATAGCTCTGAACCTACCGGATTGGTCGCTGCGAAGCCCTCACCATTGGATGCGCCATGCATGATACCCTTTTACAATTGAAAATGCATTGACCCCAGGTTGGATCAAAAGTCGTCAAATTAACAACTTCACTTCCAAAATTTTTGCTTACAGACAACTCACGGCTCAGAACCTACCGAACCGAACTGCTTCGCAGCGATTGATGCAGTAAGATCGGAGATCTGAGCCGTCTGCATTCAAATGTAAAATTTTTCCTTCGTGTTTTCAAGGCGCTTGACCGCAGGTCAGGTCTCGATGTTACCTCTCCATGACTCGTCTCAACACAGGGAATCTATTAGTGAAGGTTTCAAGGCGATCAAACGAGCCGTTTCTGAGAACGAGCGTGCCTGCTTCATAAGCCGGTTCTTTAGACCTTGCCGCATATCAGGGAGGGGGGGGGGGAGGCAAAAGCGTATTTATTCCAGCACATGAGAATTCCATTGCAGGCAAAATTGTACTGCGAAGCTACATGGATACAAATGTGTTTTACCCGCGCCCCCAGAACCTTTTGCTATGCATACAAGATTCGTACACAAGGTACGTACGCATGTCGAGCACGGAAGTGACGTGGGTGGCACACCTGGGGCTTGAAGGCATATGAGGAAAGCGGAAGGGGACCGGAGTGAGTCAGGGTTTCATAGAATAAACAACACAAGCTGATTTTGAACACCTTCGGCTCCCGGGGCATACGCTACATCCAGAGGAGGGGGTGGCACCCAAACAGGGACGCGGTAACCGGGGGGGGGGGGGGGGGCGGTTGGAGAGCAGCCCATTCCCGAGCTTGAAAGCTGTGGGGATGGGTGCTTGCAAAGGTCCACTTTGGGCTGTCAACGGCCTGAAGCGGCCCCCTGTCTAATCTTAGAGGGTCCACTTTGGCATGTTGGAGTCCCTCCCCCCCTCCCCCAACTTGAACATAGTTCCGGCGATTCTGCAACCAAATCCCCGTTGGCTACATCGCCGTCGGCTGCATGCGTAACGTGTTCAGCGTGGCGCTATGTGGTACATCACAGGGCTGGACTGGGGCTACAGCTGCATCTGCGGGTGGGCCTGGGCCTGGGACTGCAGCTGGGCCTGGGCCTGGGCCTGGAACTGCAGTTGGGCCTGGGCCTGGGACTGGGACTGCGGCTGGGCCTGAGCCTGAGAATGTGGCTGGGCCTGGGCCTGGGCCTGGGACTGACACTGGCACTGACACTGGCACTGACACTGGCGCTGATAATGGCAATGGCAGTGGTAATGGCAATGGCATTGGCGTTGGCACTGGGTGCAGGGTGGGAGGGCAGGGCGCAGTCACCCCCTGCTGAATCCGGTTAAGGTTTAGCATGGCGGTAGTGCACTCACGAAAGAGGCAAGCTACAATGGCCTCCCCTAGAGGGTCCACCACAACCGGGCATGGCATGACAGAGCAGGAGACAGGACCGGGAGGAGCAGGGGGCAACAGGACCGGACAGAATAGGCCAGGACAGATCGGCAGGTGGGGCAGAGTGGAAATGCACAGCGTAGAATAGCGCAGGACAGGAGACGACAGAATGAGAGAGAGCAGAAGATAATGGCACAATGCAGGGGAGCAGAGACAGGGTGCAGAGAGACTTTAGGTACACATGGCAGGTTTTTGGTATGGCAAAACAGATCAAGACGGCAACAAAAGAGCGGAGGACAGCATGTCACAGCACAGCACAACACAGCACGGAATGTGGCAGTACCAAGGGAGTTTGTCAAAATAAAACAAGATTTACCTGCAGGACTACTTCAAAAGATGCCTCCTCCACTCCTAACGCAACTGCATGCATGAAACTCGCCTCTTGTACGTATTCGCTCGGCTTAACGACCTTTATGTACCACGCCGTTCGAGGTACTGGTCGTTTTAAGGTGAGCACAGCGCATGCACCCGTACCCAACGTCCGCAAGCTGTCTGCATCGAGTGAAATCACGGATGTGTTTGAAGTCGCACCTTTTCAGATCTACATCATACCTTCGAGGCCATGCCTTGTAGCAACATGAAACATAAGTAAGCGTGTTCGTTATTCAATTATGAGAACAATGGCGCATAATTTTAGGTGTTTTGACCATGTGTTTATGATGTATGGCTTCGTTGATAAGACGATGTCGCACCGTCGCGCGAGGTTCCGCGGCATCGCCGGTCGCCTGCCCTCCCCCCTCCACCAGCCAGCCAGCCAGCCGTAGATTGCCGTGCAGTGTTCACCAAAAACCACTCCTGCTCCGAAACCAAAAAGCTAGGGACGCGTTTTTGGTGTCAAAATAGGCACAATAGATGCACCACAGCGTAATGAAAATCTGGGCGCGATTGTACGACATCCCGGAGAGGTATCTTTAAGAAATCTTAGGGGTTGCATCGTCGCATCGACCCTACCCCCCCCCCCCCTCCCTATCAGGGCGAGCGGTAAGGCACCAGTGGGAACCAAAATTTGGGCACGCCCCTGTCCCACTACACACTTTCAGAGACATCTTTATGCCTATGTTTACGTTACTGATATGATTCATGATTCAAGCCCAGCTTTGTGTCGGGCCAGGACTCAGTCACAGCCTAGTCACAAATCAGGATCAATGGGAACTGTAATGGCTATAAATGAATGACAATGACAGTTAATTTAGAGTAGCGAACCCTGTTTATGCTGATAAGCAACTTTGAGTGGTGCTCATTTTCCGCCATTTTCGAAATGATGCCATCTCTCATGCGGGCGCAGGCAGCGACGGGGAGGGGGGGGGGGGGGCGGACACAAGAGGCACGTGATCCCTTTGGTCCCTCGGGATCCAGAGGGCCCCTCTGGGTTGACGACCAACGGCTCGATTGGGGGCTCGAATGACTGCAAGGCTGGCCGAAGGTTGCATTAAGGGTCTCCAGTTTGCCGGACCGGAGCCTCTGGATGTCAATCAGAGAGCCTCTGGCGGCGATCGTGGCCCCTGTGATAATAAACCCCCTTACTTCGGGCAGAAAACACCAGCATTCGGCCCTTTGTCGGACTTATCCCTTTGCGCATTTCCCAAGCCCTCTCCACTGGTTCGGGCCCTCTGAGAACGACAGGAGATCGATAGCAGTGAAGGAGTGCATGATGAGTCAAAAAGACAGCTAAAGGGCCCCTCCTCACAGGAGGCCTTAGTACCGAACGGTAACCTTCTACCCCGTTTCCACCAATGACTCGCTGAGTGGAACTGGGGCTCTTGTGCAAATTATTGGACCAGCTCTGCCCGTAAGTGATCTTTTTGCGACATTGAGAGCCGCTGCGTCGATCCGGCGCCAGCCGCTTAGCTCAGAAGACCGCCTGTGTCGGGGAGGGAACCAGTGTACGATACCTTCCTCTGAGGCATGGGCGGGGGGACAGGGGGCCAGGGGGCCATGCCCCCTCCCACACTTTTCAGGGTGGGGTGCCAGCAGTGTTAACTGGTCTCCGCTTTTCAGATCAAGCCTGTTTTCAGCTTACTTTCGCACTACATTAAACAGCATGCCGATTTACGTAGTCCGCCAGCCATCTTTCTCAAGGTGCGTCATCTGTTTCGTTCGCTCATTGGTCGTCGCTAAATGCCACAGCCGTAGGGCCAACGTCGAGCGGCCTATGGAGACTGCAACACCAGGCATCGGTACTGCTATTCCCATGACTTGCGAGCGCGCAGGTTCAAAACAATGCTACATGTTTTTTATCTGTAATCAATTCTGACTTGATCTTGAACATTTTTAGACGAACATGGATTAGCCATGTTAATACCAAGTTGACACTTCATTTCATCTACAATCTGGGTTTAGGGAGCCCTCATATCTTTGAAGAACACAGGAAAATGAATGGAGTCCATGTGACAATTATTGAACCATTTGCAGCGATCAGGAATATTGTTGCGTCAATGAGGGTTTCTGTGCCGATCCGGGACCAACTATGCGGGTTGGAAGGCCTCCCGTGTCAGGGAGGGGAACAATGTGATAATATATCCCTCTAATGGGCTCCGGATCGACCAGGAGATCTCGCCCCGTGTCGCCGGAATGACAGCTAGAAGAACTTAGCGATGTTATGGAATGACCCTTCAACCCTTGACCGGAAACGGTAATGTACCTCTGGTGTTCTACTCAAGGGGCCCCTTGCCTGGAAGAAAATAGGGGTCTAAAAATTGTTGAGTAGAGTGGGAGTCTCATTGTTGAATACAGTGGTTCGAAATGGGTTAAAAAAAGCATACAAGGCCAATCCATGTTTATCTGAGAACGCTTTGTAAAAGATGGATTAGTGAAACAACTTGTATCAAAAGGTTTGCACATGCCCGCCCGTAATCTCAAGAGCAAGGACAGTGATGGACTGGGTTGCAGCTTCCGTAGAACCGAACGGCGCCGTCTACTGCAAGCGCCACCAGACGGCCGGCGCCGTGTTGCGGACAGATTAGAAGTCACAGAAAAACAGAGATTCTATGCTTGCTCTTGCAACTACACCGCCAGATTTCAGCACCACTTCCAGGTGCTTAAAGGACCGATCCGTGCTTATCATCAGTCAAAAATTCCACACGTAAAATATGTGGCCAGACTGCCTTCTAATGTAAGATTTGATGTCCTCGAAC